ATGGCATACCCACTCTAATCAAAATATCACTAATCAAGGAAGGCTATTCTAGATCTTCATCAGAAAGACTAACTTCCTATAGTCTTTCTCTTGAAGATCTAGAATGACAATTAAAATTTTAACAAGTTAATAATAAATTTTATTTCTAAAGGTGGTGTACCTAGTTCAAAATCTAAGAAACAGCCCAGAGACTGACCAATTTTAAATGAAGCAATTGCTTAAAATAATAAAGCTGAATCCTTTCTAATTAATCTATTAATTGAATACCTCAAAAAGGTAACAGTTAGCCAGTCATTGAACCTGTCATGAAATTGAACATTTTAAAATGTATCTTGATGATAAAAGTTTTAACTTAATTAATAATTTTCATGTTCTATTATGGCATTACTGCAGAATCTGATTCTTCCTTGTGGAAATGTGCAAGATATATATCAAAAAGTTTGTATCTTCAATTCAGTCTGAATTATCATTTTTGTAGATGAAATGAAAAATAAACTTTTAAATATTTAAAATATTGAATGATCTCTAATCTTGAACTTTCCAGGAATAGCGTGCCATGATTGCCAAGATGGTGGTGTTGTTTCCTTTACTAACGTCATACATGTGCTCCTTTAAACGAACCGCCAGATTTCTCGTGGTGACACCCACATAATCTTTTGCCACTCCTAATTGTTGATTTTCAAAGGGAATTCTATAAACACCAGCCTTTTCCTTCATTCCTATCTTGTCCTTATCATTCCTNTTTTATGTATTTTATATGTTATGTATAAAATAGAAAAAATGTTAATAAAATATATTGGCACTAAGATTTATATTCTGAACAGTAGTAATTTGTTAATGGTATCAATAATTCAGTTAGTACATGAATATTATCATGATTAAAATTAACTGGTAAAATGAAGATACTTAGAATAAACATTATTGTAATTTACATAGGTTAATATATTCAGATCAGTTCAGATTCTGTCCAGGATCAAATATATTTAGTTTAAGAAAAATGTTAATACTGTCTATCGGTGTTGTTATTTTTTACTTGAAACAATACTACAAGTATTTTCGACAAACTTCAGATTGTCTTCTTCAGGTATAGAATAATGGAACCTTACAATAATAATAATACACCAAGGACATACAAATGGAGTTTAGCCTAGACGAATGCAAAACACTTCACATAGAAAAAGGAGTCCTGAAAAAGGTTTTGCACTTGGAAATGGAGATGTTATTGAATCCAAGGAAGAAGGCAAGTTCTACAAGTATTTAGGATTCAAACAGGCCAAACTAACAGAACATATAAAACAAAGATTAATTAAAGAATACCAAAGTAGGTTAAACGCTATTCCCAGAACACAGTTAAAGCAATAAACACACGTGATGTCATAGTACTCACTTTTTATTTTTGAGTTATGCATTGGACTCACACAGATCTCGAGTTACTCCAAAGGAAAACAAGAACAACACTTACTAAGCATAAACATCATCATCCTATATCTGCCATAGAAAGATGAACTATCTTTCTATGGCATATTTCTATGGCTTCCACATAAGATGGCAAACATGACCCGATCGACTACAAACAAATCCAGACACTACAAGAATTTTTCTACAAGAAACATCACAGTTACATATAGTCTGCTAGAGTTACTGCTTTAACAAGAAACATCACAGTTACTATGATGTGATGTTTCTTGTTAAAGCAGTAACTCTAGCACTCAAATAACACATCATTAAATTTATACTCACAACATATGGACATGACATAACATATAAAAAGAATAGACACCATTAAGCAATTGTGGGTTCAAAAGGCACTCCATGACAGGCATCCCTACAACCTGTCTAAGGATTTTGTTGACAAAACTGCGTCAAACAGCTGGTTAGCTCGGGGATGCCTCTTTGGGGAGAAGGAAGTATTCGTGATTGCCATACAGGATCAGGTCATAAATACTAAAAACTACAGAAAACACGTACTCAAAGATACAACACTCACAAATGACACATGCAGAAAATGTCACATCATGCCAGAAACTATACAACACATCAGTTCTGAGTGCAAGCTCTTGGCACAGACAGATTATTTACACAGACATAATCAAGTAGTAAATACAATACACCAAAAGCTTGCAAACAAACACAAATTATTAGACATCCACGAACCATACTACAAATACATTCCATAGACAGTATTGGAAAACAACACGCACGAAGTGTACTGTGACAGAGCCATAATCACAGATAAAAACTTACCACAACATATCAGGCATCACACTCATTGACAAACACAATAAAATCACATTCTGGAATACATTTTAAATTTGCCATTTGGAACACTTTAACATATATTTTAAATTGTAAGGTTCCATTATTCTATACCTGAAGGAGACAATCTAAAGTTTGGACACATTATTTGGATGAATTCCATCCAGAATCTAAAGTTTGTCAAAAGTACTTGTAGTATTGTTTCAAGTAAAAACTAATAATGCTGATATACAGTATTAACATTTTTCTTAAAGTTTTTGGCATCACAAGAAGCAATTTTGAAGCATATTTAGCTTTTCTTAGATAAGTATACAATACACTTTAAACTTTACACTTTGAATATAGTTTGTTTATTAATAATTGCCACTCAAAAATATATACTTTTCGTTATTTATCTAATATGTATTTCTAAATATTTTTGAATGTGATAGGACTATACTTGTTTTGCACACATCATATTTTTCAAGATCACTTAGTATGTTTAATCCATAGTTATTTTATTTCCAAAGGTACAAAACTAACTTGCAGATAACAAAAAATTTCCTACTTTATATATCTTGTAACTAAAAGTAACTTATTTTTGTATTTCTCTCCTTCATTTTTCTAATTCATTTGAATTTTTCTCTGTAGAATTTTTAGTGTAATTTATTAGTTTGTATTGTTCTGAAAAATTTTGTTTATTTTCTTGTCTGAATTTTTGTGTTTAACTGGCATTCATTTAAAATTATAAGAAAATTAGATAGGAATTCAGCATTATAAATTCCTTTAAACATAAAGAATATTTGTACTTCAAGTAATTTATGATGGTATCTATGGAAGAAAGAGATGAAAAGAAAATAGGCTGTATTGTCTAAAAATGAATGATAAAATATAATTATTTTCATGTTACATAAGATTTCTGATTGATTTCTTAAAAGTTATTTTATTGTTACATTGCAGTGTTGCTGAAATTAGTGTTAATTTCAAATATAAAATAATTTGTTGTGGTTTTTTAATGGTAATTTTAAAATACTATGTAGAAATGAAAGAAGGAAGAATTATTATTAAGAATGTCATTGGAAAATTTAGAGACTTTAGGATTCATTTTTGTAAAAAGCCTTTTCACATTCACTAAAATAAATTTATAAAGATATCGTGTATAGTTTCTTAGTAAAAATTCAAGCTTATGTGAAAGATTTGACTTTTAATTTTTATTTTATTTAGACAATTGATAAATGAAGTAGAAGAAACCTCAATAAAATTATTTTAAAGTATTTTAAAAATCATGATTTTACCAAATTCTGTATTAATTAATAAATGAATAACAATATTTATAATAATAATGTGCATTTATATCATTATGTATGGTGTTGCTACTAATGACTTAATGTTGATTAATTAACAATTAGAGCAAAACTGGATAGAGAAACTCGGACAAAAAGCTTCTTTTAATATTGCTTAATAAAATAAATATTTTCAATTACTTTGAATAATCGTATTTAAAATGATTATGGCTACTGAAGGTAGCTACTCAATATAGCCAAAATGTTTTCGATTATTTTATGCTGTATATTAAAGTCTTTTTTGTTTATTTGAGATAATCATATAAAAATGATTTTTGTGTGTTTGCAATATCAAATGTAGGCAAGTTTAGTGTTTGTATAGGAAACTATTTTGTTAATGTTGAAAGTTGTTAAACAAATATTTTTTAATCTTTATAATAATCTTAACTTCATATACAAGTTGTATATGTATTTGTACGTATGAGTATAAATGGCAATGCATATAATTTCACAAGTATCTTTTTATTTATACTCAAAATTATGAAAAAAATTATAAATAAGATTAATCAAATAAAAAAATTCACTACTGTCATATAATTAATTAATTGAATTATTATATTGTTTTTTTCATCATTATTAATCAATGGTACTTTTAAAACAAGCTAAATTGATAAATGAAATAGAACCACCTGCAAATCATTATTAGTTATATTCTCATCATTAGATGCCACAAAGGTATTTACAAGCAGCTATTAAATCAGTATGATTTTAGTATGTTTTCTGTATTAATTAAATAATTTTAAACTTCTAGCTCAGAAATATTTACTGACTAAGGAAAAAATATATTAATTGTATAATTACTGTACAGTGTTTCATTATTTTTTTTTAAAATAAAGTTTATGAATGCATTGTTTGAAATTAATATCTTTTATTTGAAATGAACTAAATAAAATTCCTTTAACCCTTTAAAGAGTTCTTATTTGAAGTACAGAATATCTGTAGCTAAATTAACTTATTTGCTTTTAGTGATGCATTATTTATTATTCATTTGATATTTTCAGATTTTTTTCTTATCTGTTATTGTCTATTTTTTTTCTATATACATTAATTGATAATTGAAGAATTTTTTTAAGAATAATTTTTTTAATAAATGCATTTAAATTGATTTCACATAAATTAGTTGGATACTCTTTCCATTGCTAATGTACACTGTTAGAGTACATTAACGACAATGAAAGTATTCAATAATCAACTTGTATAAAGCAATTATATTAATCCACATATCTAGTACTTAATTTATACCAACCAGCAACAGTAGCATACAAAGAAATACATCCTATTGTTATTCCAGGAGCTTTTTTTTCCATTGTACAAACAATAACTTCTAGTTTAATTTATATCATTTTTAAAAAATAAATAAATTTATTTGCTTTACAGTAAAACATTCAAAGATGTATTAAATTATCTTATTTGAATTTTCAGTTATTGCATAATTATACCTTGCCAACATCAAAAATACATTTAGAAGAGAAAAATGTTATCGAATTGGATATAATAAACAAAAAAGAATTAGAAAATAATTCTAATCTTAAGAAAAAGAAAGTTTTTGGAAAAAGGCGTAATTCAATAAGAACAAATTCTCAAGCTATTAAAACCGAGGAATTAAATGGTGAGATTAATGTATTAGACAGTACACGTTTTAAAAACGGAAGTTTCTCGTAATTAATCTTAATAATCATTTATTTTGTAATATTTGTTTAGATCAAATGCCTTTTGTGCTGGAAAAAAAGAATTTAGATGAATGGGCAAAGCCAGTTTTTGATCTTTGGCAATGTCAACAACATAATTTTAAAGCTGAAAAAAATTTTAATAGTCACTGTTCAAATGTTGAACCTCATTGTTCAATATGTATAGTATTTAAAGCTTTAAGAGTGAGTAGTAATAAATTTGTTTTATATCATTCATACTTTTATAATTTTTAATGTGATAAAGAATTAATTTTTATTTGAACTCAAAAATTTAGTTCAAGGAAGATGAACTTAATACTGCTTCAGAATTGCATGTTCCATCACAGAGTCCAGTTTGGATGCCTAGTATGTGTTTTGATGCCAATTATGAAACACCAGATTTTTTTGATAAAAATCTACTTTTGGAAACGGATGGCACCTCTCCACTTTACATATGTACAAATTGTAAAGTGTGCGTTCATGCAAGTAAGATATTAATTTCATTTTTAATGTAAAAAGTATAAATATGACCATTTATACAAGTATCCCCAATTCTGTTTTTATATGGTAGTTAATTTTCCAGAAAAATCTGTGTAAACACCAAAGTACTGCTAGCTTTTAGCACCAAATGGCTTACAAAAACTGTTCCATATCGAAAGAGTAGAAGAAATGAAATCATACAAACAAATTTATTGAAATTGTTAGATCAAAACGATCGTGTAAAAGAGAATTGGGTGTACTGTATATTTTTATATTTAGATTATAAATATTATTAATAATATAAAGTTATTGATGTGAAATAGACAATATACATAAGATACATATTTAATGAAGAAATTTTCAGATTGCCTTAATAATTTGGATTATAATTGACATAAAGTATTAAAAAATGTTAGTATATAACAATATTAGTGTTATTTTTTTTAATAAATTTTCCAAATTTTCACGTACTTAGGAAAATGTTTTTTATATTCAGATTGATTTTTTTTTATTAAGCAAAAAATATTTTTTAATTGTAAAACTAATGTTAAAACAATATAATTAAATTTGCTGAATTGTATACATTAAACTTTCACTATAAATTATGTAAATAGTAAATAATATGCAGTTTAAATATCAAATGTATATTTATAGTGATGGTAAAATGAAATGAAAATTTTTCTTAATCGGTTCATTATATTATAAGTATAGGTAACAAATTATCATTCATATGAATATAATCAAACACCAAACAATTTGCTGAGCTTATTATTACTGTTCAAATGTTTTCAGCCTACTTCTAGTAGGCCATCCTCAAGACATTACTGTTCTACAATCGAATACAAAACTTTCGAATAAATTTTAAAATTAAACTTTTAACATGTTTTTGAACATCTTTACAATAAATTGTAAACTATTAAATACTTAACTAAAAAATTTTTTAACATATTAAATAATAAATATATATAAAATTAATATAACAAAAAATAAAAAATATACATTAAACTAGAAAAATACATCCTCCATAATTTTACGGGTTTTTAATTCCCCTTTCTTTTTCTAACAAGTATTTCCATGCCGTTGGCAAAGCATTAGCATCCTTTGCGTTTAAGCAATTATTATTTATTTTACTCTTATATATCTGCATTTTTTCTATGCCAAATGCAATAGTCAGAGAATGGACCAGTCTAACTATCCTTGCATCATCCCACTTAACATTTGCTCTATCTGATTGTGCCATGATTGCCAAGATGGTGGTGTTGTTTCCTTTACTAACGTCATACATGTGCTCCTTTAAACGAACCGCCAGGTTTCTCGTGGTGACACCCACATAATCTTTTGCCACTCCTAATTGTTGATTTTCAAAGGGAATTCTATAAACACCAGCCTTTTCCTTCATTCCTATCTTGTCCTTATCATTCCTTAGCAATTTGTAGATGTTTGGCGCTCATTTATAAACAGTTCTCGTGCTCTTATATTTACATAATTCTTCCATTATTCCTTCTACATTCCTGTTGTATGTAAACTTATTAAACCTACTTTTTAGCTTATCCCGTTTGCTTGTTTCTTGTTTGTAACCTTTGACCAGTCCGTTAATTGTAGATGTTTTGTATCCTAAACTTTTCGCAATCTTCCTGATTCTGTTAATCTCGCTAATTCTATCCTGTACGTTGGTGCAATATAAGAACACTCTTTTAATAAGTGCCCTAAACGATGCCATTTATATCTAAACGGATCATTAGACCATGCCGGGATATATAGTGGAGAATGTGTGTGGTTTTAGATACACTGCCGTTTGTACATATCCTTGTTTAAATCTTATGTTAATAATCAAAATTATCACCTTTTTTATAAATTCCAGCAAATAATTTAATATTATAAAAACGTTTTCGATCGTCTTTAGCGATCTTATGTTAATATCCAAAAAATGGATATGTGTATGGCTTTTTTGTTCATGTTTTAGTTTTAACCCATGCTTATTGTTATTTATCGTAATTAAAAATTCCTCAATCCTTTGGTTATCTTTCCAAACTATCAATACGTCATCAACATATCTTTTGTATAATGTAATGTCCTCCGTGTAGTTTTCTAGAACCTCCTTTTCTAGTTGACATACCACTAATTCGCACAAGAGACGTGACATGGGACTACCCATTGGGACTCCTTTCCTTTGTTTGTACACTGTCCCATTGAACGTAAAAAAGAATTGGTAACACATCAAATCCGCCAATTTATAACACAGGATCCAAATAAGTTGGTAAAAGAATTACAAGGTTTGGCACTGATGAATGATGAAATAGGAACGGTTATGGATTTTGAAAGCATGTACCCTTCCATGAATTTAACATTTTGTTTCAATACTCTTGTTGATTTTATGGTACAACATAATCCAGGATTAACAGCGTATATGGAAGACTTAAATAAATTGGCGGATTATTTCTTACTACAGATTTAATATTGATGTTTCATATATGTAAGATACTTAAAATTATTAAAGATATTTAAAAAGTATAGTGTGTTGAGTAAAAATTTAATAAATATAATTGAAAGTATTCAAAAGTTTTCTTTATTTATGGTTATTTTGTAATTTTATTTTAGCATGTTATGGCATTACTGCAGAATATGATTCTTCATCATGGAAATGTGCAAGATGTATATCAAATGCAATAGATGCTGTAAGTAAATCTTCAAATTATAAATTGTATATAAATTTAAATCATATTTTTTTTATTTATTTTGAATATGAAAAAGTTTGTTTAGATTAGGAAATTTTCGAATTCATTTCGTGTTTTTATTAAGTTATTCTTAACCAGTTTTCATGTTTTATTTAAATTTTTTCAATTTCATCTTTACAGAATATTCTTGAAAATTTGCAGTTTTCCAACACATCTGTACACTTTTACAACATTTCCAACATATTATATACAGTATATATAGTATATATATATATATATAATATTAACAAATGTTAGATTATAATTTTTTCAAAATTAACCAAAATTAACATGTAATTTAGAATAACTATATAATTGATTAAATTGAATAATTTTTTCATCAAAATAAATCAATAAATTTATTAATTTAGTTAAAAAGACTTACAACAAGGTGCAGTTACATTAATATCAGAAACTTTAAAGAGAGAACACAAACTTTTTTAATTTGTACCAACATGACTGCTGAAATACAATCTGAGTTTAAAATGACTTCTAGAGATACTGTTTCTTACATAAGTAAATGACAAATGCAATACAAAAAAAATGAAAGAAGATATATCTTCATTTTAGAATAAATGTATTGGCTAACATTAACACAGTTAATGTTATTCTTTTCCCGCAAGATGAAATAGCCAATGCCTTTATAGGATAGTCATGGAAAGATAATATTGTGACTTTCAGGCAAATGTTAGTTTTTAACACTCCTCAATTTTTGTTAAGTAGTTAATATCATCAAGTTAATACAAATCATAAATCACTTATGTCAGGTCTATCCAGTAGTGTTTAATTAGCTCAAATGACCGTTTAGTAAAAATAAATGGCATACCCACTCTAATCAAAATATCACTAATCAAGGAAGGCTATTCTAGATCTTCATCAGAAAGACTAACTTCCTATAGTCTTTCTCTTGAAGATCTAGAATGACAATTAAAATTTTAACAAGTTAATAATAAATTTTATTTCTAAAGGTGGTGTACCTAGTTCAAAATCTAAGAAACAGCCCAGAGACTGACCAATTTTAAATGAAGCAATTGCTTAAAATAATAAAGCTGAATCCTTTCTAATTAATCTATTAATTGAATACCTCAAAAAGGTAACAGTTAGCCAGTCATTGAACCTGTCATGAAATTGAACATTTTAAAATGTATCTTGATGATAAAAGTTTTAACTTAATTAATAATTTTCATGTTCTATTATGGCATTACTGCAGAATCTGATTCTTCCTTGTGGAAATGTGCAAGATATATATCAAAAAGTTTGTATCTTCAATTCAGTCTGAATTATCATTTTTGTAGATGAAATGAAAAATAAACTTTTAAATATTTAAAATATTGAATGATCTCTAATCTTGAACTTTCCAGGAATAGCTGATTTGAGTTTTTCAAAATCCCTCCTTTATGGAAAATCATAACTTTACATTTGTCTTATTAATAATTAGATTATTATTATTATTATTATTATTATTATAACAACAATGATTTAAAATATTAAGTTTGCCTATAAGGCCACTACACAGTCAGCCAACATCATCATCAGCATGCAATAAACAGTTGATCTCTACTTCCAGTGATAATGATATGCCCAACAACAAAAAATTAACTTGTAGCTAACACAGTAAGTCATTAAGAAACAAAATGAAGAGACTTGAGTGGATCATCCTAAGTGAATCTTTTATTGGAATAAATTGCCTTTGTTTTTTGATAGTATCTTTCTGTTACATATCTGACATTCAACATAAAGTCCTTGAGTAAATTTACAAACTTACCAGATATCTGCATTACTACATTTTAAGTCTAATAATAATAATAATAAATCATGATCAATTGAACCAATGCTTTCTGATGATCAATAAATATTGCATATTAGTTTTTCTTTCTTATATAAGATTGACTGAACTAACCTATTCAAAATTAAAATATTATATCCAATTTTTCTTTGCCTGACAAAAGCACCTTGACAAGAAAAGATGACCTGTAAATCTTCCATCAAAATATGATTAGCTAGAAGAGAAAAAAAAAATAGTTTTCTTATATTATTAATTAGTCCAATTAATATGTAATTTAAATTAATTAAAGGTAAATTTCTACTTTCCTTTTTAAAAATTATTCTTAAAACTATTACTTTCCCTGATTATAGAAAAATAGATATAATTTAAAATACTTAAAGGAACTACCTCATTCAAAATCTCATTTGACAAATGTTTAAACATCTTATTGCTATTTTGTCTAATCTTGGGGACTTCCCAAAATATAAAATCACAAATTCCAGTTACCTGAAAGTAAATAGATCATTCAATCATAATGGTATTTCAGTCTCAAATGAATAACTCATTAACCACCATTTCTACACCTGAAAACATATCTATTAAATAAGCTTCCAAATCATCAATTGAAATCTTTTTTTTTTTTCTGAATCTGTTTTATCAATTTCCAAAAATCTGTCAAATTCCTAAACTCAAGTAATTGTTGTTCAATTTTCAAACAAATAATTTTTTCTTACTTCAATATAACAGTCAGTTTTTTTTGTTTTGACAATATTCCTCCAAAGACTGCCAAGTTTCTGGACTATGAAATTTCTTTAATGCCTTATATTTAAGCATTTACTGGCTTAAACAGTCTTAAACCAGGTTTTAGCAAACTGTCTTGAGATTAAGGATATGATTATTATACCACTCTGAAGCTTTTAGTAAACTTTCTGTCAATATTATTCAGTAAACCAAAACATGCTGTAATTAAAAATAAAGGCTGTAATAAAGGCCCTTTTGTTGCCAGGCCTTTGACATATGTAAACAGTTAGACATTTGAATTTTTTCTGTTTTTATTTCCCACAAGATGTTAGAAACATTGATTTTTCAGAAAAGAAATACAGTAATCAAGGTTGTGGGCTGGATATGAAGGCTTAATGGGCCATATCCGGCATCAGTTTGTGACTCCTGGTTTAGTTGTAGACACTTAAAAAAGGTGTAATGGGTTATAGTATCCTGATTTAAATAAAATAAAAATATGACCTGTATGTTAAATTTTGCTTCATTTGGATATTTATAGCTGGATTATAGTTTAATTTTAGTTTTATCAAAAATAGCAATTCTAGAATAAGTTCACAATCACAGTGAATAAGAAAAGAACAATGGAAGCCAAAAACTAACATATTTTATCAGAATGGACAGACTTAAATTGTTTTACGTTGTCTAAGTGAGATGGAGCATTTGATTTGTCAAAAACCGTGGCAATAGTTAAAGGTTTCAACATAAAATGACATTATAAGACTAAACATAAATGATTTGCCAAACAATTCCCAGTGGGAAACAATCTTCACAAATTAAAATTGAGAGATTCTGCTCAACTTGCATGACATCAATCCAAATTATGAATCATTCAATGACTGAGCAAGATAAGTGTACTGAGGCTGAGGCCTTTTTGCGTATTTCTTGGACTCTTGCTAAACACATGAATTCATTTTCTGATGCTGATGTAGTTAAAGAATGGATGCTTGAGGCTGGAAATGCATTATTTGAGAATAAAAAAGATGCAATTGAAACTATTTGACATATTCCAATGTCTATATTTTTCAATACAAGAAACACATGTATTGGCTGAGAAAAATTGCCCTATTTAAAAAAGATTTTAACTGCCAGATTGTTGTGCTTTAGCTATAGTTGAATCATGTGACATCATGGACACAGCATAGCTCATGATTTTGTGCACTGTTTGGATAAAACCAGTAGTAAATTTGTTGAAGAATTTTGGCTATTTTGCTGCTGTTAGAAACGCTATGAGGAGGAGACTTGTATAGAGCTGTAATGTAGTGTACCGAAATGGTTGGGCTTGAAAATATATCTGTGATAACAGATGGTGCACCAGCAATGGTCAGAATTTAAGAAAGACTTAGTTCAATGAATGAGTAATGATCCAAAATACAATGAAATTTTGATTTTTTATTACAGCATCATCAATTAAAGTGTGTTGTGCTGCAAACTAAGTCTCAGTCTGGAAAGTACAATGCAGGAAGTAGTTAAAATAGTGAATTTCATCCATGTGAAATTGTCACTTGCTCACTGATGGTCACTTTACTCACAAGTCATTACTTGAAACTAATGCTCAGAATGATTTACTACTACACATAATGTAAGAAGGCTGAGCAAAGGTTGTGCTCTGCAAAAATTTCTAGACTATTTGAAGAAACAAAATTATTTCTCTGCAACAATAATCATTCATCAGCAAAGAATTATTTAGGCTTTCTTGACTAAAAAGCAAGTATATTATCATCCACGGTGTTTCTAACTGACATATTTAAACATATCAATGACTTGAATATCAAACTATAATGGAAAGGAAGGTTTGTGTATGGACTCTTGTTAGAAGTTAAGTTTTTCTAGAAAAATCAACCTCCTGGATGATGATGATGATGATGTCAATGAATTTTTGTACTTTCCTAACCTAAAGATAGTTTGTGTTAGCACTGAGAATAGTGACATTAAAACAAAAACTGAGTAAAACAAAAAATAAATTACAATGAATGTTACTCTCAACACCAACAATAGCCCAGAAGGAGATGAATAAAAAGTTTTGTTTTATTTCCAGCACTCTTGGAAGTAAAATAGCAACTCTTTTTCATTGAGTTAAACCATGAAATAATTTTTAATATTATAGTCAGAAAGAATGTTGAAATATCTATTTAAAGTTTATCTTAAAAAACATTTTATTTATATAAATTTCAGGAATGTTGTTTGTGTGTATTACGAGGTGGTGCTTTAAAGCCAACTACTAATGGACGATGGGCTCATGTTTTGTGTGCTATTTTAATACCAGATGTGAGTTTTGTGGATATTGTCAAAAAGGAACCCGTAGATATTAGTAAAGTGACTAGAGCTCGTCAAAAATTGGTAAGTAGTTCAGTGTTTAAAAGATTTCAGTTTATATAATATATTAAAAATAAAGACACACACATAAGAAAATGAGTTTATTTTTTTAGTAATCTTAGAAATAATNGCAGAGCATTAGCATCCTTTGCGTTTAAGCAATTATTATTTATTTTACTCTTATATATCTGCATTTTTTCTATGCCAAATGCAATAGTCAGAGAATGGACCAGTCTAACTATCCTTGCATCATCCCACTTAACATTTGCTCTATCTGATTGTGCCATGATTGCCAAGATGGTGGTGTTGTTTCCTTTACTAACGTCATACATGTGCTCCTTTAAACGAACCGCCAGGTTTCTCGTGGTGATACCCACATAATCTTTTGCCACTCCTAATTGTTGATTTTCAAAGGGAATTCTATAAACACCAGCCTTTTCCTTCATTCCTATCTTGTCCTTATCATTCCTTAGCAATTTGTAGATGTTTGGCGCTCATTTATAAACAGTTCTCGTGCTCTTATATTTACATAATTCTTCCATTATTCCTTCTACATTCCTGTTGTATGTAAACTTATTAAACCTACTTTTTAGCTTATCCCGTTTGCTTGTTTCTTGTTTGTAACCTTTGACCAGTCCGTTAATTGTAGATGTTTTGTATCCTAAACTTTTCGCAATCTTCCTGATTCTGTTAATCTCGCTAATTCTATCCTGTACGTTGGTGCAATATAAGAACACTCTTTTAATAAGTGCCCTAAACGATGCCATTTTGTATCTAAACGGATCATTAGACCATGCCGGGATATATAGTGGAGAATGTGTGTGGTTTTAGATACACTGCCGTTTGTACATATCCTTGTTTAAATCTTATGTTAATAATCAAAATTATCACCTTTTTTATAAATTCCAGCAAATAATTTAATATTATAAAAACGTTTTCGATCGTCTTTAGCGATCTTATGTTAATATCCAAAAAATGGATATGTGTATGGCTTTTTTGTTCATGTTTTAGTTTTAACCCATGCTTATTGTTATTTATCGTAATTAAAAATTCCTCAATCCTTTGGTTATCTTTCCAAACTATCAATACGTCATCAACATATCTTTTGTATAATGTAATGTCCTCCGTGTAGTTTTCTAGAACCTCCTTTTCTAGTTGACATACCACTAATTCGCACAAGAGACGTGACATGGGACTACCCATTGGGACTCCTTTCCTTTGTTTGTACACTGTCCCATTGAACGTAAAAAAGAATTGGTAACACATCAAATCCGCCAATTTATAACACAGGATCCAAATAAGTTGGTAAAAGAATTACAAGGTTTGGCACTGATGAATGATGAAATAGGAACGGTTATGGATTTTGAAAGCATGTACCCTTCCATGAATTTAACATTTTGTTTCAATACTCTTGTTGATTTTATGGTACAACATAATCCAGGATTAACAGCGTATATGGAAGACTTAAATAAATTGGCGGATTATTTCTTACTACAGATTTAATATTGATGTTTCATATATGTAAGATACTTAAAATTATTAAAGATATTTAAAAAGTATAGTGTGTTGAGTAAAAATTTAATAAATATAATTGAAAGTATTCAAAAGTTTTCTTTATTTATGGTTATTTTGTAATTTTATTTTAGCATGTTATGGCATTACTGCAGAATATGATTCTTCATCATGGAAATGTGCAAGATGTATATCAAATGCAATAGATGCTGTAAGTAAATCTTCAAATTATAAATTGTATATAAATTTAAATCATATTTTTTTTATTTATTTTGAATATGAAAAAGTTTGTTTAGATTAGGAAATTTTCGAATTCATTTCGTGTTTTTATTAAGTTATTCTTAACCAGTTTTCATGTTTTATTTAAATTTTTTCAATTTCATCTTTACAGAATATTCTTGAAAATTTGCAGTTTTCCAACACATCTGTACACTTTTACAACATTTCCAACATATTATATACAGTATATATAGTATATATATATATATATAATATTAACAAATGTTAGATTATAATTTTTTCAAAATTAACCAAAATTAACATGTAATTTAGAATAACTATATAATTGATTAAATTGAATAATTTTTTCATCAAAATAAATCAATAAATTTATTAATTTAGTTAAAAAGACTTACAACAAGGTGCAGTTACATTAATATCAGAAACTTTAAAGAGAGAACACAAACTTTTTTAATTTGTACCAACATGACTGCTGAAATACAATCTGAGTTTAAAATGACTTCTAGAGATACTGTTTCTTACATAAGTAAATGACAAATGCAATACAAAAAAAATGAAAGAAGATATATCTTCATTTTAGAATAAATGTATTGGCTAACATTAACACAGTTAATGTTATTCTTTTCCCGCAAGATGAAATAGCCAATGCCTTTATAGGATAGTCATGGAAAGATAATATTGTGACTTTCAGGCAAATGTTAGTTTTTAACACTCCTCAATTTTTGTTAAGTAGTTAATATCATCAAGTTAATACAAATCATAAATCACTTATGTCAGGTCTATCCAGTAGTGTTTAATTAGCTCAAATGACCGTTTAGTAAAAATAAATGGCATACCCACTCTAATCAAAATATCACTAATCAAGGAAGGCTATTCTAGATCTTCATCAGAAAGACTAACTTCCTATAGTCTTTCTCTTGAAGATCTAGAATGACAATTAAAATTTTAACAAGTTAATAATAAATTTTATTTCTAAAGGTGGTGTACCTAGTTCAAAATCTAAGAAACAGCCCAGAGACTGACCAATTTTAAATGAAGCAATTGCTTAAAATAATAAAGCTGAATCCTTTCTAATTAATCTATTAATTGAATACCTCAAAAAGGTAACAGTTAGCCAGTCATTGAACCTGTCATGAAATTGAACATTTTAAAATGTATCTTGATGATAAAAGTTTTAACTTAATTAATAATTTTCATGTTCTATTATGGCATTACTGCAGAATCTGATTCTTCCTTGTGGAAATGTGCAAGATATATATCAAAAAGTTTGTATCTTCAATTCAGTCTGAATTATCATTTTTGTAGATGAAATGAAAAATAAACTTTTAAATATTTAAAATATTGAATGATCTCTAATCTTGAACTTTCCAGGAATAGCTGATTTGAGTTTTTCAAAATCCCTCCTTTATGGAAAATCATAACTTTACATTTGTCTTATTAATAATTAGATTATTATTATTATTATTATTATTATAACAACAATGATTTAAAATATTAAGTTTGCCTATAAGGCCACTACACAGTCAGCCAACATCATCATCAGCATGCAATAAACAGTTGATCTCTACTTCCAGTGATAATGATATGCCCAACAACAAAAAATTAACTTGTAGCTAACACAGTAAGTCATTAAGAAACAAAATGAAGAGACTTGAGTGGATCATCCTAAGTGAATCTTTTATTGGAATAAATTGCCTTTGTTTTTTGATAGTATCTTTCTGTTACATATCTGACATTCAACATAAAGTCCTTGAGTAAATTTACAAACTTACCAGATATCTGCATTACTACATTTTAAGTCTAATAATAATAATAATAAATCATGATCAATTGAACCAATGCTTTCTGATGATCAATAAATATTGCATATTAGTTTTTCTTTCTTATATAAGATTGACTGAACTAACCTATTCAAAATTAAAATATTATATCCAATTTTTCTTTGCCTGACAAAAGCACCTTGACAAGAAAAGATGACCTGTAAATCTTCCATCAAAATATGATTAGCTAGAAGAGAAAAAAAAAATAGTTTTCTTATATTATTAATTAGTCCAATTAATATGTAATTTAAATTAATTAAAGGTAAATTTCTACTTTCCTTTTTAAAAATTATTCTTAAAACTATTACTTTCCCTGATTATAGAAAAATAGATATAATTTAAAATACTTAAAGGAACTACCTCATTCAAAATCTCATTTGACAAATGTTTAAACATCTTATTGCTATTTTGTCTAATCTTGGGGACTTCCCAAAATATAAAATCACAAATTCCAGTTACCTGAAAGTAAATAGATCATTCAATCATAATGGTATTTCAGTCTCAAATGAATAACTCATTAACCACCATTTCTACACCTGAAAACATATCTATTAAATAAGCTTCCAAATCATCAATTGAAATCTTTTTTTTTTTTCTGAATCTGTTTTATCAATTTCCAAAAATCTGTCAAATTCCTAAACTCAAGTAATTGTTGTTCAATTTTCAAACAAATAATTTTTTCTTACTTCAATATAACAGTCAGTTTTTTTTGTTTTGACAATATTCCTCCAAAGACTGCCAAGTTTCTGGACTATGAAATTTCTTTAATGCCTTATATTTAAGCATTTACTGGCTTAAACAGTCTTAAACCAGGTTTTAGCAAACTGTCTTGAGATTAAGGATATGATTATTATACCACTCTGAAGCTTTTAGTAAACTTTCTGTCAATATTATTCAGTAAACCAAAACATGCTGTAATTAAAAATAAAGGCTGTAATAAAGGCCCTTTTGTTGCCAGGCCTTTGACATATGTAAACAGTTAGACATTTGAATTTTTTCTGTTTTTATTTCCCACAAGATGTTAGAAACATTGATTTTTCAGAAAAGAAATACAGTAATCAAGGTTGTGGGCTGGATATGAAGGCTTAATGGGCCATATCCGGCATCAGTTTGTGACTCCTGGTTTAGTTGTAGACACTTAAAAAAGGTGTAATGGGTTATAGTATCCTGATTTAAATAAAATAAAAATATGACCTGTATGTTAAATTTTGCTTCATTTGGATATTTATAGCTGGATTATAGTTTAATTTTAGTTTTATCAAAAATAGCAATTCTAGAATAAGTTCACAATCACAGTGAATAAGAAAAGAACAATGGAAGCCAAAAACTAACATATTTTATCAGAATGGACAGACTTAAATTGTTTTACGTTGTCTAAGTGAGATGGAGCATTTGATTTGTCAAAAACCGTGGCAATAGTTAAAGGTTTCAACATAAAATGACATTATAAGACTAAACATAAATGATTTGCCAAACAATTCCCAGTGGGAAACAATCTTCACAAATTAAAATTGAGAGATTCTGCTCAACTTGCATGACATCAATCCAAATTATGAATCATTCAATGACTGAGCAAGATAAGTGTACTGAGGCTGAGGCCTTTTTGCGTATTTCTTGGACTCTTGCTAAACACATGAATTCATTTTCTGATGCTGATGTAGTTAAAGAATGGATGCTTGAGGCTGGAAATGCATTATTTGAGAATAAAAAAGATGCAATTGAAACTATTTGACATATTCCAATGTCTATATTTTTCAATACAAGAAACACATGTATTGGCTGAGAAAAATTGCCCTATTTAAAAAAGATTTTAACTGCCAGATTGTTGTGCTTTAGCTATAGTTGAATCATGTGACATCATGGACACAGCATAGCTCATGATTTTGTGCACTGTTTGGATAAAACCAGTAGTAAATTTGTTGAAGAATTTTGGCTATTTTGCTGCTGTTAGAAACGCTATGAGGAGGAGACTTGTATAGAGCTGTAATGTAGTGTACCGAAATGGTTGGGCTTGAAAATATATCTGTGATAACAGATGGTGCACCAGCAATGGTCAGAATTTAAGAAAGACTTAGTTCAATGAATGAGTAATGATCCAAAATACAATGAAATTTTGATTTTTTATTACAGCATCATCAATTAAAGTGTGTTGTGCTGCAAACTAAGTCTCAGTCTGGAAAGTACAATGCAGGAAGTAGTTAAAATAGTGAATTTCATCCATGTGAAATTGTCACTTGCTCACTGATGGTCACTTTACTCACAAGTCATTACTTGAAACTAATGCTCAGAATGATTTACTACTACACATAATGTAAGAAGGCTGAGCAAAGGTTGTGCTCTGCAAAAATTTCTAGACTATTTGAAGAAACAAAATTATTTCTCTGCAACAATAATCATTCATCAGCAAAGAATTATTTAGGCTTTCTTGACTAAAAAGCAAGTATATTATCATCCACGGTGTTTCTAACTGACATATTTAAACATATCAATGACTTGAATATCAAACTATAATGGAAAGGAAGGTTTGTGTATGGACTCTTGTTAGAAGTTAAGTTTTTCTAGAAAAATCAACCTCCTGGATGATGATGATGATGATGTCAATGAATTTTTGTACTTTCCTAACCTAAAGATAGTTTGTGTTAGCACTGAGAATAGTGACATTAAAACAAAAACTGAGTAAAACAAAAAATAAATTACAATGAATGTTACTCTCAACACCAACAATAGCCCAGAAGGAGATGAATAAAAAGTTTTGTTTTATTTCCAGCACTCTTGGAAGTAAAATAGCAACTCTTTTTCATTGAGTTAAACCATGAAATAATTTTTAATATTATAGTCAGAAAGAATGTTGAAATACCTATTTAAAGTTTATCTTAAAAAACATTTTATTTATATAAATTTCAGGAATGTTGTTTGTGTGTATTACGAGGTGGTGCTTTAAAGCCAACTACTAATGGACGATGGGCTCATGTTTTGTGTGCTATTTTAATACCAGATGTGAGTTTTGTGGATATTGTCAAAAAGGAACCCGTAGATATTAGTAAAGTGACTAGAGCTCGTCAAAAATTGGTAAGTAGTTCAGTATTGAAAAATATAGACATATNAAATCTCTTACAATAAACAATTTATGTACAGCATTTTGAAAATATTTTTACTCAAATTAATATGAAAAATGATTTATGCAGATCAATATAATAACGATTACTTTATTAGAACAATAATAATAATAATAATTTGATTTCTTGAAAAAACTAGTTATTATACTATAATGGTTAAATGATTTATTCAAAGTTAGACAATATAATTGTATAGAAAGAAACAAATTTAAAAAGTTTAAAATTATTAAATGAAATTTTCTATATCAATTTAATTTTTTTTTTATTTCAGAAATGTTCGTACTGCCATAAAATGTTCAGTAACTTTAATTTAGTAAATGGAATTTGCATACAGTGTTCAGCAGGGAAGTGTTCATTATCTTTTCATGTGACTTGTGGTTATATGGCAGGTGTTACATTTGAAACGTGTGATTGGCCTGTACCTGTATATATAACATGTACTCGTCATACAGCTAATAAAGAAAAGGTGAGTTAAAGTTTTTATTTAATACATTTGTCATAATTTTATTATTTTAAAAGATGGTAAAATGCATCAAAATATAATTATATCTAAAGTGTTCATATATTTAGTGAAAACTTCCTTAAAATTTGGATATTTGTATTCTAAAGAATCTATAAAATTATAAATCATTATCTCATTCATACAGTAACTGTATTTGTAATGATCATACTTTTCAAAATTATTTTATTTCATACTGTTTACAATTTATAAAACCAACAGTAATATACTGTATGTAGTATATAGGGTGTAGTTATAAATATTTTACCTATATCTTGCTTCTAGTACATAATAATAATTAAATGCAATTGGACTGGAATATAGCTAGTTGGCTGTTCATTGATTTGGATATCATAAACTTCAAATTTCCTTCAAATAGCGATAAATCCTATCTGGGCTTATGAAAGATAATGACATAGTTTAAGTTAAATCATAGATCATCTCATGATCAGTACAAAATGTTTTTAATGTAGTTAAAATATTTTATTCTTCTTGCTTCTTGCTATCAGTTTGTTTATTTTTGGTACTACCAAATGTATGTAGTTGAGGAGTGAATAAATTTAATTTTTTTTTCTTGACAATCAGTCCCATCAAGTCAGGGTTTTTGGCATTTAACAATTTCTCCATTTTTCTGCAATGAATGTAGTCATTTTGCATTAGTTCCTGTACCAAGTTCAGGGGCAAACTATCGACTGATCCTCTATTTTTGTTTGTGTAACATCTGTACTGTTAGGACATTTTCAGGTCAAGAAAGAAAGGATGTTGCAATGTTGTACAGTGTGTTGACTGATGGGTTCAGCAGTGTCCAGTCTGATGTGATTTGTTGCTGAGTTGCCCTTTGTTGCTTGGTTACTAACCTGGTTAGCAACCAGCAGTCACATTGTTGCATCAGCCATGGATGCCCACACTGTGCATGTACTGCTGATGTCTGTCTGGAATTTAAGTATTCCTGGTACTGGTATTTCCTTAACTGTTGTATGAGAAAATTCAAGAGCATTGGCAACCTCGCTGATAGTGTTATCCGTTCTTCTTGCTCCAACAATCCGTCCACGATCAAACAGCAATAAATCTTTTACCTAGCTCATTGCTACTCTAATCAAGCTCATACATAACTCGTAAGTATCGTATCTACGATGTCAAATACAAATGTTCCAGCTCAAAACATTTTCCCTGTTAATAAAAGGTAAACATTGCATATGCTGCTGTCTCTAATTTTTTGGCACTTCAGTTTATATTAAACAATTATTGAAAAAGTGGGAAAAGACATATTTTTTGTAAACAATCTAAAAACAAAATTGATTAAAAAATCTGAAGAAAATAATAAAAATGAAAAAAAACCTGATAAAATAGAACTTTCTAACAATAATTTTAGATATCCAGATTAAATGGTGTTCTTTTTATTTCTTAAAGTCAAATGGGTATAATATTTTCAATTGTTTATAAAATTTAATTTTACAAAATTAAAAATATTTTTATTTTCAGATGTATAACAGAAATTTAAGTGAAGTACAGATTGAAGACAAAGTAATTGCCAAACATAAAAATGGAAGATATTATCATTGTGAAGTAATTGATAAATATGTGCAAGATTTTTACTCTGTTGATTTTGAAGATAGTTCCTATAGTGACAATCTTCTTCCAGAGGATATTAAGGTACAAAAACTGTTTTATTATAAAATAATATATCAAATGAAAATCCTTTGAATAGTTAGGAGTTTGTTTTATAATGCAAAGTTTTAATTAATACTTTAAATTTTAAATATATAATGGATTTAATTTTGGAAAATCGGGAATTTTCAAATAATATAAATATAAAGTACAATACAATTGGGGATCTTAGATAACTTTACAGAATTTTCCAAATTGTTTTTATCAATTGAAAATCTTGATTATATAATTTATATGAACTTTTTGGTTAAATTATTTGAAACAATATTCTAGTCTATTTATTTAACTTTTTATGAAAAAATAATAATTTTGATTATATTGTTATTGAAAATACTTAGCTACTTTTATATTTAAGCCACAGATTGTATTATGGCATGAAAGTAACATGACAAAATTTTAAATTCTAACAAGATTTTTCTAGTAATTGCTATTGTTTTACATTATTATTCAAATATAAGATTAATTTAAAATAATTTTAAAAAATGAACACATATTTAAAACAGTTATCTATTTTATCATTTTTAAAAATTAAATTAAGATAATCATAGACACAATTAAATCATAGACTAATTAAATACTTGAAGGTCAATAAACTTTTATTCTTTATTATATGCCAAAGAAATATCAACAAATTGACTACAATTATAGAATATCTATAAACAAAAATTATGGTTGATTTTTGTTCTCTTAAAGTTGATTTGCCATGTATTAAGAATATTATTCTGTGCAAGTTAATGTCATTAGTTCTTTATTTATAATTAGTATTCTCTGATTATAAAAGTTTAAACATTTTGCAAATTTAATGTTTTTTTTTTTTTTTTCTTTCTTTTACAAAGTTAAAAATGATCAAAAATAACAAAATTGTTAGATATTTTTAAAAAAATTAAAGATTATTTGTGTAAAAAAGTTTTAATTTAGAAACATTATTTGTGTAGGCATAAATAATCAATATCAAAATTATATTTTATGTAAATCAGGAAGTAAGAAATTATTGTATATTTTTTAAATAATAAATTTCATTTATTATTTAAACTTAATTTTCAGAATGTATCTCATTTAGAAAATTATTTCTGAATCTTTCCATTCATATAAATAGCTTCATGCTGAAAAAATTTGTATAAAAACAAAAGTAATCTCATAAAGTAAGTAAATTCAAACTCCAGAGGAAATATAGAAAATTTGAATCATTCATTGTTTTAAAATAAATGTTTAATTTTTAAATAACAAACAATTTTCTGCTGTTTGCAGAAATTCAAATTTTTTTTTTGAAAGTTTCCAATATCTTTGGCAGTATTACATTCACATACATCTGAAGTTTTCGTTTTCTTTTCATTTCTTTAATTACTTTTTTTTTTAATTTAAAGATTATTTTATGCTTAAACATCTTCAAAGTATAGCTAAACAGCAGTGTTATCTAGATCAAAATGTTACTAAAATTGTGTAATAAGATAATTTTTCCCACATTCAGAAGTTTATAGTAAAATGTGTATCTCAGGAATTTCCTAAAATGCATGCATTCTATAACTAGTTTGCCTAAATTAAATTTTTCAAGTTTTATTTTCAAAATAGAAGACATACTAGCTTTGAAATATCAAAATTTTAGTAAAAAAAATTGAGTCAACTGGATTTTTTTACCATAATTGAAATATTAATGTCAAGGAGATAATAGCAAATTTGATTTATTCAATAATTTAAATTAATGAAGTTTAAAGTTTATATTTGATTGTGTTTGAATTTGAATTGCCATTGTAAATTAATAGTATTTTTTATAAGAAATTTTTAAAATCATCATGAAAAGAAAATAAGTAGAGTCTTCAAAAAGAATGCTACCATTTTAAATTACTGTAGTTATGTTAATTATTACCTGAGTAGTATGCAATGAACCTCAATCAATAGAGTAAATATCTAGTTTTATCTACTATCTGCATAGAAATGTCTTTTTGTCTATATCTCTATGAAGTGCCATAAACAAAAAGAGTGACTACACAACAGAGAAACCACTTTTTGTTCTGTAGTTCACAAAGTTGGAACAGAAATTGAAAATCATGTTCTGAGTTCACAACATGATTTTCAATGATTTTTTTTTTTTTTTTTTCACTTTTGCAGACAATTTCAAAGTGATCTGCCATGTATAACAAGCATTTTTGTTATACAATGATGACTGATTCCAACTTTGCAGACTGCAGGATAAAAATATCTCCATTGTGAAGTTGCCAGTTTTGTTTGTGGTGCTTCCTACAGGCAGTAGACAAAAAGATGTTGGAATGCAGATTATAGCTGAAGCTTCAACAGTTACTCTATCAATTTGTGTACAACAGATACTTTTTGGGTAATAGTTAATAGTAAATAGTTAATGGGTTTTGGAAGACTGTATTAAAAATCTTACATTAATGTAGTGATACAATACTAAAGAAAAAATTGATAGTTTTTAATAGGTTTTTATTTAGGAACATTAACTTTACTAATATTTTTAGTCAAGTTATAGTTTTCTAAATGTATCTAAATAAAGTTAAAAATCAATTAACTAAGCTTAGCAACCTAATCTAATTCTACAAACAAAATTGATTTTTATGAATGATGATATATATTAAAGAATGTAATAGTAAAGATATTTTATGTAATTTATATCTATTATCTTTTTTTGTAGAGTCGAGATTGTCTAACTCTCGGGCCACCTCCAATCAACGAAACAGTACAGGTCTTATGGACGGATGGAAAAATATATAATGGTCTCTTTAAAGGTGTTCAAACTCATGTGATGCATCAGGTAATTATGCATAAAAATATGAAATAATTTAATTCATATTTTTTCTTTTTATCTAATTTTATTTTGAGTATAATAATGGATTGATAATTTATAGATTGAATTTGAGGATGGATCAGAAGTAACATTAAAAAGACAGGATTTCTATAGTTTGAAAGAAGATTTACCAAAAAAAGTTAAATCAAGACTGGTATGATTATATTAATTTTTAAATGAATATATTTGAAGGGGAGAAAATACTCAGTTTTATAAAATAATAATTATCTAAAAGAAAAATTTAGATTACCTAGTAATATATTTACAGATAATACTACTAATGAAAATTGCCATATTACAACAACTTTTTATTTGTAAAAATATCATCGATAATTTATGAGAAAAAAGAATCAGATTTTAAGATATGATAAAATATTATCTTATAATATAATAAAGATGGGTTAATAATAATAAGTACAGAGTCGAAACGGTTAAGAGTTGAAAGTTGAAATTTGGTACACAGAGTGCATCACAAGAATGTACACTAAGAAGGGATTTTTTGAAATCCCCCGCAGGGGAGAGGGATTGGATTAAGACTTATCCTAAAGAACTCGGCTTCTACTGTACTATTTTAGATGCAATTTTTTATTTTTAACTGTGTTTTAGTAGGGTACGCCATGAGAATGCACCCTAATAAAAACATTTTTGGAAATCCCCGCAGGGAGACTACCTCTTAAAGATTACTTTGAAGAACTCAGCTTCTATTGTACTATTTTAGATATGGTTTTTTGCATTTTTGACTGCATTTTAGTAGGGTATGCCATGAGAATGCACATTAAGAAGGGATTTTTGGAAATTCCATCCCCCAAGGGAAGAAAAGGAGAGAGTTAGATTTAGTCAGTATAAAGTGTAAATAATAAAGAAAGAAAGTTAAATAGTGGCACATATAGTATACATTTTGGCGTTTAATAGATATTTTAATCATTTCCACTTTTCGGGTAACCCAAAGACAATAAATCCAAAATAAACGAATTTGAACAAATATTTGGATTCATTCCAAATTCAAAATATTGAATTTGAAATATAATGTTCCACAAAAGTTTTTTTAGATTTTAGAATTTAAAATTAATTATTTTATTCAAGTAAGGTTATCATCAAGTAAGTTAATTCTCCATTATAATGAAAAAGTTTGATTTTTTTTTTATTTTTTAGGTTACTTAAAATCTTTTTAAATACTAAGAATTTATTCAGATAAAATTCAATAATGGTTTTATTCATTTTTTTTCTGTTGGATATCCAATAAATAGAACAGTGAAAATGAAATTTCTCATAAATTTGACTCTAATCTTATAATATTATTGAGATGGGTTGATGATAATAACATTAAGCACAGAGCCCAAACGGTTAGGAGTTGAAAATTGAAATTTAGTACACAGTTAGGGTACGTGATGAGAATGTACACAAAGAAGGGACTTTCCGAAATTTCCCCCACAGAGGAGAGGGAGAGGGTTACGGATTACCTTGAATTCAAATTTTAAAGGTACTATTTTAAATGTGGTTTTTTGTGGAAAATCGAACATGTTTTTAGAATCATCTAAAAATTCTCTAATTAGTCTCAGAAGAGGGTGAACCGAAATCTTGTACCCAGTAAAAATGGGTAAGATTGGCTATAATCTAATAATAGTTTTTGCTATCAGTACTTTTTGCCCGAGCAACACCGGGCTCATCTGCTAGTGTGTATATATATATATATTCCATTAGAGTAGGATTAACAAGTAATAATACTTTTAAACAGCTTGAAGCTCAAATTTTATTTTTTTTTATGAAATCACTTTTTATATGCTGATTGAAAAAAATTTTTTAAATTTGATATAAAATATATTCTAGCAAATATATTAAGATATTCAATATAACATGCAAAAAATTCAGAATATATTAAATGAGTAATGACAAAAATCTATTTGTTTTTTTTATTGAACTTATAATAAATATTATATTGAGTTGATAAAACAAAATAATTAACATTACTAAAATAAAAGTTACATAGATTTTAGGGAATAAAAAAAATAAGATGTAAATTACAAATTATCAAAATAATAACTATATCAGAATTTTTAATAAATATAAAAATTTTGTGATAGTTTACCCAAAGACATATTTCAATAAATTAATTAATGATTATTTTTTTTAAATTATCACTAAACATTTTATTGTTATAAACTTTTCTTGAAAAAAAAAACTTTTTTAAATAAGTAATTATTCTAATTCTGTGAATATTGACTTAAAATTAAATTTTGACTAAAAAAAAAAGAGGTTTAATAACCTTAGATTTAAAAAATATTGTCAATAAAAACAAAAGAGGTTTATCCAATCTTTTGATTAGGGTTTCTACTTTGCAGAAATTGCTTTTAGCCCTTAGTATAATTAAATTAATTAATTAAAATATCTATAACCATAAGGTAGATAATAGGAAGGGCTTATCACACCAATGACAAAGGGCAAAGGTTTCTACTGTATATCTGGCAGTATTTGGTTTGTTTGTTTAGTTATGGCAATGCAACACATGGGCGATCTGCATCTGCCTAGGGGGATGGAGGTCTTTTTAAGGGAAACTGGCCCCTATTTAGGCGTTACAGACGTGGAGAAAACTGGAAGACTCCACGCACATGGCCAGCCCATCCCAGCGAGGTGCAAACACACGACCAAACTCCCAGTGTTCGGGGAATGAAGACCGCTTGGCCACTGGTGGGCGCCAGTATTTGGTCTTATCTCTTGCAAGGTGGGGAAACATTTGCAACGGCCGTATCTCTTGGACTGTCATACGTACCCCTCTGCCAGAGATATTACCAAATACTGCCAAGATATAGAAAAAAGGTTTAAGAATGTTATTAGTAATTTAAGAATTACTATTGCCATGCAATCACAATTACCAGTGATAACTTTTCTAGAGGCTTTTTGAGTGCTGATCCTTTATCAACTCTCAAATACAGTTGCTAACTCTTAGATTCACCGGAAGACGTTCTTTTTTGTCAAATGCTTAGCAAAAGTTTTGAAATTTTTCAACTTTCAAATTTAAGCTAGTGTCCTGCTTTTACTCTGCAGGAGAATTAACTTATGGTTTATATATTACAAATAGATTAAAAATATGTGACAGTTTTGATATTACTGAAAATTCAAAAATGCCAAATTTTGAAATTCTTTGCTCCTGGAATGAAAGACATTCAGAATGAACTCTTTGGGAGTTGGAAAGCTGGTAAATGTAGACTAATACATGTATACAAAATGCTTTAACAAATGAATAAATAACTATTATTTATTCAGTAGTTTGATATTGTTACAGGGATAGATTTGGTTGTGAGTATTAATAAGACAGTGTTTAATTAATTAATAATATTTGGTTAGGGATTAATGATTTTAGTCAAAAGTTATAGTTCATTACACAACTAATTACACTCATTAAAATACAAGCTAATTTGATAATCCCGTGTTAAAAATAGGAAATAAATATATATTTATATATAAATATTTAATATTTTTACTAACATATTTATTAATTTTATTTGACAATTTTATTTTTTAGTCTGAAGCAACTGAAGTTCAGCATAAAAATATATTCGAAGAAGAAACGGTCGGAGGTAAACGACTCCGGGTGTCCAACAGCAAGTACAAATCGGACAGTATTCTTCCTTTATAACTCAATGATAATATGCAGATTAATTTTGATTATTATTCGTCATTATTCAACAAATTCTAATCAGTCAGTTACGATAAATCTGCATTTGTCATAAATCATACTTTATATTTTTTAAATGTCTTCAAACCATCGCCTCCACCGAAATGTAAATATATCATTCGTATCATTATGAAGCTAAATGATATACCAAAGTCAGTTTTGTATTTAATTTTCATTTATTATAAGTTTTGTATAATTTATTTATGAAATATTCTGCATGTTTGAACATAGATGATAAATGTTATTGAAAAATATCTTATCACGATTGTAGAAAATTCGGACATATACTTAACCGATCAGATTTTTCATATCATGCTGATTTTATATGATCAAAAAATACTGATTATCAGATGAAAACTATGCATATGTCTTGAAATAATGAGCAATATTCCAAACAATGCAATTCGTTAAGTGCAAAAAGTTTGTAGAATTATTATACTGTATATGTATTTGTAATGTTATTTTCTTCCCACTATTACTATTCTTTAGTTTAATGTCGACTGATCTTTTTAACTAGTTTCTTCTTGTAATAATTTCATTTTGTATATGAACTCAAAAAATGTCCTTTTTAGGACTTATTATTGTAAAATGGATTTAGATGAATTGACATTTCTGTAAAAAAAAGTTTAAAAAAAAAGAAAAATTATATATATATGAAATAAATATAATTTACTAAACTTGATTTAAGTATTTTTAATAATTGTTTTTAATATAAAATATTTGTCATAAATCATTTTAATTTATTTAATTACACTTGCAATAATTATTTATATCATTAAAAAAAAACAAATGTACAGTATAAGACTGTATATATTTTATAAAAACTTTTCATTATCGTATCAGCATATAGGAAATGATTTCATTCAAAGATAGTATATGTCAATTTATTCAAATACAGTGGTATCTCGTACTTCGAACGCTTCGGAGTTCGAACTGAGCATTGAAAAAATGCGCTCCAAAAGCGTAAAGGCAATCTGTTACGATCGTATGTTTTCAGTGTTTTTTCGCTGTGTTTTTGATGTGTGCGCTTATATATTCAAATATATATTGCGTGGTGTTTGTCGTTTTTACTGTTCCTACGGCGTTACGAAATTCATGAAGCATGTGCCCGATAAGACATTCTAATTTATCTGAAGTAAAAGTTTAAAATAAGCAAATAATGTATTAAATTTCCCGTTATACCAATAATTAAATCACACGTCTAAGTTAAGTAAACGACGGATTAACTGTTAAGATGCTGAAATAAATAGTAAATGCAATTTTCATTTCGTTATACAGCATTGAAGTATTTTATTCATTGTTTTCGTGTTTTAATTTATTATTGGGGCATTGTGATAAAGAATAACAGATAAAGAAATTGGTATTGTTTAGGGTGTGGGAATGAATGAATTCTCTTTCCATTATCTCTAATTTAAAAAAAAAAAAACTATTCGGAGTTCGAACGGCCTCCTGGAACGAATTAAATTCGAAGTACGAAGCACTACCGTATGTTAATAATATAAATTATTTCGAAAATTTGAAAATGAGAGGAGAATTATTCATTCGGTAGTTGCCTTTTATAATCTTTAGGGCAGTTTGGTCTTTTTAATTCTAGTCAAAATAATAATAATGTGACTAAAAATAGCGAGGAAAGTTTTGTATCCAAATAACGTATTGTTTATTTCTCAAAAGTTCAAGATGTATTTGTAATGCCTCAAATTATAATCGATTTGAACGATGATTAAATCTTAGTGTTTTACATAATTTATATTATTGGTGTTAATGATATCGTAGTATACAAAATTACACAGTATTTGTAAATCAAAAATAATTGTGTGTAACCTCTTCCATATTTTCAAATGTTAATACAGTAGATATTATTGCAAAAATTTAAGATTTATTGACTTATCTTTTTTCATTATAAGCACTTCAAATTAGTAGTGTCGTGCCCCTGTACACCATACTTTTCCTTTAACAATAGAGTCGTGCCGGTCGATTCGACATCACGAGTGACGTCACGAGCATGCACAATTGTCCGGCGCCATCTTTGTAGTTTGTTTACGTTTTATTTGTGTTTTTGTGCGCTTCAGCTGGAGTTCTTGTGTTTATTCGTCGTGCATATCGTTTTGGTGAATTGTTGTGTAATTGGGTGTAATGTTAGTTTGCTCAAGAACAAACGAACGTCATTTTTTAAAATTCCTGGTATTATTTGTCATCAAGGACAGCAAACTGTGAGGAGCTTTCGCCACGAAGGTAATTTGCATGGCTCTGGACAATTAACCGGAAAAATTTCAATAAGGATAAAGTGAATATCAATATACAAGAGTTTGTCAGAAACATTTCATTTCAGGTAAGCAATAACATTTGATTACTTGTTATCAATAAATGAGTAGATAAACTTTTTTGCATGAGTATCATAAAGCCTGTTGCGTAAATCCCTTTGTTAATACCGACAAAATAAAGTTAATTTTAACAACCGCAGATTTTAGTTTGAATAGATGATAATTGTGTTCTAACTTTATTTTTCAACCCTTTCGGTTTGTTTTCTTAGTCTCTGCTTGTAATAAATATACAGTGAAGTTAATATTAAAGCGTTAAGCAAAGATAATCGCTTAGCGGATGAAGAATTAGAAATGCATTTTGAGCCAGTTGTTCTTCCAGTCTAATTTACATAAAAGCGTGTGTATTTTTTTAAGATGTAAATCAATAATTTCCATTGTTCGTTTACAAATATCTAAGGTTATTTTGGCGAGCAACATTTCTTTTAAGTCTAAATTGAAAAAAAGTGCTACCAACCGGTCAAATAACAAACCACATGCAAATTAAGCAAGCGGAAGCTAGACCACAAACATGGCGAAGGAGTGGATCAAACGTGCGTTTTATCACGTGACATACGACCGTGAAGCTTCTAACGCCATCGGAATTTCTGTGTTCCTCAAGGCACTGTAGTTTTTTTTCTGTGTTTTATATACTCTTTCCACCCTGTGGGCACTAAGAGGGCCTGCAAGGCACTGTAGTGTCAGTCTTGACCCTGCGGTCAGTTTCGTTAGTTGCACATTGGTTGAATTAGTTTTTTATATTTGCAAATGGGCTAGAAGTCATGAATTTTTTTGTTGATAATAAAATTGGGGACTCTCGGAGATTAGAAAAGGGGGCGCATAACCAAATGTACGGGCATCCCTGCAAAGTAGGGATTTTTTTCGATTTTATTGCAGGTCATGTATTAACTGCTTTCAGGGGAGTTTTGAATTAAAACAACGTGACTTCCGGTTTGCATCGGAAGTTCGTGTATAGTTAATCGGGATCGCCTGCCCCTAAAGTTTCCATATTTGGTCTAGGATGATTTCATGTATCTAACTCCGTTCTCGAAATTAAGGGAAGATGGACGGACGGACGACAGTGGGAATTTTTAAAGGTTACAACTTTTTCAAACAAGCAAGGATACTAAGTTATAAAATACTTGCAATTAGAAGGTTAATAATCAATTATAAAACCAGATTTACTAGCGGGCTATAACGTGGTTGATTAAATATACAGATAATTTAATCTGTATGTTTGTCCGCTTCTACATCAATTTGCCGTCGCAATCTTGCTGCCGCCATTTTTGTCTTCGGGAATTTTGCCTTATTGTAAATTAGCCGCGGACCCCAAGTGTCTATTGAAAGTTGTTGGCTGAAAGGGCTAAAACATAATTTTGTTATAACTTTCTATAACAGCAGATGGCACCACACGCAATTTTATTTATTACGCTTAATAATATAAAATTTTTTCATAATCTCATAACTGGAAAAGTTACGCAATTCTCTGCTGGTATTTTTTTCTTTCATCGATTAAAATGCAAACGAGAAAGCGGATTTAAATTGTTATAAACTTTACCCTTCTGTCCAGCTTTATTTTGCGATTTTGTAAATAAATATGTATGCAATTTATAAACTTCCGTGTTTATTTACCATAAAACATGGCTGAACGGTAAAACTGCCCGCAGCAAATTGACAAGGCACCATTTGTCTTGAAGGTAGGCGATTATAAATTGTCATCAGCTTGTTTTGAATTTAATAATAATTCGAACTTGTTTTTTTCCTCCAGCTATTAGATATAGCAGGAAAAGTATAAGGATCCATCAAAAAATCCAATATTTTTATAATGGGGTGGAAGGTTGATAGCAACTGCAAAAAATGATGCCTATTTGTAGTATTGTTAATACAAATATAGGAATAAAAACTTTATTTTGTCAGGCAAGTCCTGGCAAGCAAATAAACATAAATTTAATGCATTATAACTCACAATTGAAAACAATTCTTAATTCTTCTCTCTTTAGCATAAAACAGTTTTGTTAATTAATTTCCTTTTCCACTTTGAAAGTTAAGTTTAATTTATATTTCTTGATTTTGTATAATGATTTATAATGTTGCAAATTCTTTCTGGTATCAAATTCTAAAACCTCAGGTAAGTAAAAGTTTTTAATCCTAAAATTATGTGATAAAACAGATCAAAATATGTTAAGAAAAACAGTACAATAAAAACTTTTAGTTAAGACACTATTTTTATTCTGTTTATTTTCTAGGCAGTGTTAATTTTTTAGATGCTATCAAGAAAGTTTTTTTATTTATTAAATTTCTGTAAATAATTTTAAAATTCTGATGTAAAAATACAGTATTGATAAACAATAAAATGTATTGTATATTGGAAAATATTTAGATTTACAATATACTTTGAACTGCAAAAATTTGACAACATTCAAATATAAAACACATTTATTTCACTCTAATGTGACAAAGTAAAAACCATAAATTCTATCATCATTTAATTGCTTATATATATGTTTCTCATTAAATTATTTTATTTCATCAACATATTCTAGATAATAGTTACAAATCAATTTTTGGACAGTTTCCAAAGCTCATTTAGTAAATGATACATCACAGACGTCTTTTATCCGAGTTATTTGAACGCATATTCAAATAAGCTTGTGTATTTGTATTTGTGTTTAGTGTTGTGTGTGTGTGTGTGTTTGTATTTGTGTGTATTTTTACATTAACACATTTTATTTTTACATTATGTACATATTTTTGAACAATAAACTAACTATAAAATAGATTGCAACAAGCCTTCCTTACAAGAAGTTAAGAATGTATTATGTACTTTGAGATATAAGATAATATGAAATTAAAACAAAACGACCTGTAATAATTGCTGCTTTTTTCTTTTATAAAGGCAGCTTACAACAACCGATGTTACGAGTTTCAGGCGTAAGTGCCCGCTTCTACGGCGATTGCGTTGTATTTAATATAGTAACAAACATCCGACAGCACGAAATTGATTTTGGATGGAAAATCTGATAGAAATATAAAGAAATACAAATAGAGGAAGACTTTGAATATAATGTTGAGATTAATATACAATTCATAATGATAAGAGGCACAAGTAAATGAGATTTTTAAATATATTAAAACAACTTATATTTACAGAATATGTCCCATTATTTAAAGGAAGATTAGTTTTTGGAAATTTTCTCAAACTTTCAATATATAATATTGTATATGTACACCATTTAAATGATTTGGCTGTATATATACATTTTGTAGAAAAAGAAATGCACTAATAAGCATAACTATACTAGAAGCATCTTGACTGTACAATAACAATAATATAGCTGCCTGTTATACATAAAATCACACATGGCAAAAATTGCAATTAAGATAAATACATAAAAATCACGTAACAGAAATACTTTATCTTTTACTTTCGTAGGAACTCTGAACACTTTTTTTGGAGACATTCCTTTCAACATTTGATGCTTTACTTTGCACGTTTTCGGTATCGCGCGCTCCTTTATCTATTATTTTCTGTTGAATGTTAGAATCTTTTTCGTCCGGTCGAGAAACACTTGAAAATACTTGTGCTTCGGATTTTGGCAGGTAATTAATTTTATCTTTCTTTTCGGCAGTTACACTGCTACTAGATTCATTTACAATAAGACTAGATGATTTGGATTTTTTCTCTTCACAATGTTTAACACTACTACAACTACTGCTGCTGTCAGTGTCTGTAGATGCCTCTATCCTACTTACATCACTATCTCTCTGTTTTGTTTCATAAGATGTTTTAAAATCACTTGAAAGATGGCTCAGTGGTTTTAATTTGGAATTTTGTGAATTAGGTTTAATTGAAGATGATTGTTTGACTTCCTTTTCTAGAGTAGTATGTAAAGATAATTCTTTGTTAGATATATTTGATTTTGTAAAAGATGGTTGAGTTCTTACAACTTTTGTTGAATTATTATTTTGAGTGCATTGTACAATTACTGTTGATGCCCCACTGATAGTTAATTTAGATATACTTGTAGCAAGCGATGGTGATGAAGTGGTTGTGATTACATGTGTTGAAGAAGGTGTTGAAGATAGAGCCAAAGGAGAAGAAATATGACCCGAAAAGGACTCTCTCTTATTTTTTCCTTCGGATGTTTTTGGATGATGACGATCTGGTGACAGTGCACGTCTAAGAAGTGGAGAACCCGGTTCTGCACTTTTTGGCCTCATAAATTTCTTTGAACTTCCTCCAGATTTGCGACAAGAATAACTTTGAACAGATTGAGCATGAGAACTTCCAGAAAGATAAGTGATTGGAAATGCTAATGGAGACGGTGAACGAGTAGGAGAAGTCGAAGGCATTGGTGAAGGTGAAGGTGTTCTTGCGAGAGGAGATAACGGAATATGACCAACAGATTTACGGCGTGGTGAATGAAATGTTTGCGTTAATTTATGTTTTAAGCCATGCAGAGTACTGGGTCTTGTAAACTGTGATGATCCAGCAGGTGAATTTGGAACACTAGATCCAGGAGAGCTACTTTGTGAAGAATTAGAATGAGAAGAATCTGAAGGAGAACATAAGCGATTCAATGGAGGTGAATGTGAACACTTTGTTCTAGTAGGTGATGCGGGCAAACTGTCAGGAATAGAAGAGAAGCCCGTTGCTCTGTGTAATGACTGTAAACTTCGACTGGGTGATAAGGACGTTGCTGAACTTGATACAATTTGATGTATTTCTGCACTGGCTCTCTTGTTGCTTAAACGTCTTAAGAGAGATGCTCGACGCTTTTTTTCTGATCGTACATCATGCTTTCCTTGGCCCGTACGCCTGCGACACGAAAGAGGTCTTCTTGCCATCTTTATCATAGAAGGATTTCGTTTACGACCCCCTGTCTTAATTGTGGTATTATCTAAAGGTGTTGTACGAATATTCATACGATCTCCACCACTTAATATGAGTTGTAATACTTGAGGATGCAAAAGACCTTGAACAGCTTCTCCATTAATATGAGTGATCAGATCTCCAGGATGCAGTCCTGCTTCAAATGCTGGACTATTATGTTCAACACTCTGAAAATAAAATAGTTTTATTTTTTATTGATTTCATTTTGCAATTAACAGATGTGAAAATATTTTAAATAAACTTACAGAAACTAGATGTTGAAGTGTATAAACATCAGTGTCTCCATAATAAACTCGAATAGCACGAATATTGAAACCAAATCCTCTCGGTCCACGACAAATAATGATGGGAGGTTTCAACTGATTAACGAGAGAAGAAAGTTCTCTACTTGGTGAAGTGTCTCTCGAACTGGTACTCGAACCTCCTGGAGAACCAACAGGTGCAGGTATAAAGTCATCTGTTTGAATAAAAGTTATTAAATTATAAATAAAAGAAGCTGAATCAATTATATATTTATCAAATTTTGTCTGACCTGGAGGAACCATGAGAGATAATCCCGAAGCAGAAGCAGATTTTATAACGGAACGAGATTTAGGTTTTTTATTAACATATGCAGGAATATTAGGAACAGTGATTCTGGTGAAGAGTGACTGAGAGAGTTGCAATTTTTCTTGTTTTCCAGTGCTGCATTCTTCAACAGGTGGCAATTCACTATAATCAGGAGCAGATGCAACCAAAGAAGGTCGATTATCTTCCATACTAATAGAAAATCTTGGCAGTACGTCTTTTGAAGTCAGTCTTCTTCTTCGTTGAAGTTGTGGAGAGATTTCTTCTGATTCAGTTTGTGAGGATTCTGGTGTATTAAATTTTGAAGTTTTGGAAATACTGAAAGAAAATTTTTTTATATGTTAGTCAGAATCTAATAAATGAATTAAGGAAAATTAAACACTAATTTAACACTTTATTATATGAATAATATAATTATATATTTAAGTAACTAGATATGTAAATCTTATCATTATTTTCATAACCACAATATAAAAATACGTATGAGCTGCTGATTTTGAAAGTGGGGCAAGTCCATTTTGTGAAAAAAATATTTAAAGCTAATTCTTATTACAAATTAACATAAAATTTATGTTTTTAATCAATTCACACTAAATATCTTTTAATATCAGTATAAATTTGTTACTAGTAATTTATACCGTCAACGATATTTATTGTGTGTTGATTTTGAAAGTGAGGTGAGGCAAGTCCACTCTAAAGAAAAATAGAAAGATATGATGGATTTATTGCCCTATGTACCACCCATTCATCATGAATACTTTAAAAATCTGCACCACCTGAACTAAGAAATATAATTATATGTATGTAACTTATTATATCCACTTTTTCCTATAAAATTAAATTTATTTTTCGTGTTATTGTAGCTTTTCGAAAAAAGTATGAAGTGTTGAAATAAAATAAAATAAATAAGTAAGTAAATAAATAAAGTATTCAATTTTTTGTTATTATAATTATATTCCATTCAAAGAAAATCAACGTTTTCAACAAATCATTACTTTTGAAAGCAAGGCAGGTCCATTGGCGCATACCAAAACCATGATTTTTTTCACCTAACATGGATAACCATTATTGCCTATTAAATTTACATAAAATAAATCTATTACTACTTACGAATATTTTTAATCCTATTCAAATGCAAACCATTAAATATCTAGCAACAACATAAAATGGACTTGCCCCGCTTTCAAAATCAACAGCTCATATAATGAATAAGGATTAGAAAAAACTAATTTATTAATTTTTAACATTATTCATATATTGTATGAATNAGAGAAGAGAATGTGTGTCTTCTCTTTTCATTCTCAATTTGATAATTTTCACAGAATACAAGATGAGCAGTAGAGTAAAAATAAAATTGAAAAACAACAATTTTTCAAAAGTTTTTATATATTTTCCTGCAAACTAAGTCTTTCTGTAAGTTCTCATTTTTCATTTGTCTTGGCTGAAATTGTTATGTATTCTTCAAAATTAGCTATATAAAAGATGGAAAACAAGCTAAGATTCCCACATGCCTATTTTATGTATGTTGATGATTTATCTTCTGAGAAGGAGACATCTTTGTTCATTCGAAATATTCTTATTTCTAAACTAGTTAATTCTCCAACTTTTTACTCTTAATCTCATTTTAAGTTTATTCTACATTAATCTTCTTTTCTAGTTAATTCATTTTTTATTTAAATGCTTTTTAATTTATTATAATTCTATTTCATATTCGTTATATTAGCCTGAAGTTTTCTAATACAGATTGAAAAGTACTTGTTTATTTTTGAAAGTTTTTGTTTTATTTTTAACATTGCTTGATTGGTTTCTGACCTTCTTTACTTACACAAAATATGGACTTTAAGATAGTATCAGTAGCAAAATATTCTCGTTTACTATAAAAATTATTGATGAAATAAAAGTGAACTTAAAAATCTAAAAATGTATATTTAATGAAATTGTATTTTTACAAATTAAAATAAAAATATATTTTAAATTATAAAACTTATCATCTTTATTAATTTCAACACTACTTACAGTAAAATCTGTCTAAAGTAAAAAAAAAAAAAAAAAAAAATCTTCATAGTAGTGATTTTGTATAACTGTTACTATAAGCTAGAAGCCTGTCCAACACAGAAATAGAGCAGGCTTTTGAAACTGAAGAATGCAACTTATAATTTATTTGATGGCCTACGAAACAGTATACTTTATTATATAAAGTATACTGTTTGCCAGGGCTCAACTCTTGTCAAGATGTTTCGGCAAGAGTGTGGATGGATTTTTAGCACCCGTATAAGAGTTGTTTGGACAAGGCTTGTGAATTAGGCATAACTGTTTTTCAACATCCCACAGATTGGAAAACACTGGTATAATCTATATATAATATAAATGGACATGTGTCCCTATATTTCACTTTTCTGCAAAACTACACATTGCACGTGAATGGTGTTTGTATGTGGTAGTAGCCCCAAGTCTCCATTCGTGCATAGGGGTGGTTGCGTCTCGATAGCTATAAGGGTGCGGGAGATATGAGGCTGAAAGTGGTTGAAAGTGTCTTTCTATTTCGAATTTTATGTTCGAATTTGTTCGAATTAAATTCGAACATAAAATTTGAATATTGGTTCGATTATAAAACGATTGTAAACGTTTCAGAAACGTTGAAAAGTGTTCGTTTGACTGGACGTGAACAGGAGACGTTCAGAAATAGAATCGGGACCAGGTCTCTAATTAGTCTGGAAACGGGGGACCTAATTCTTGCATTCTGTGAAAACGGGTAAGATTGGCTATAATGTAATTATCTTAATCTTCACTATCGTTACTTTTTGCCCACAAATAAAAACCCAGCAAAGCGGGTCCTTGCAGCTAGATTCTAGATTACTTAGAAAAACAGTCTTTTATATATAAAAACAACTATATTACATACAAATGTACGAACAAATAAAAACCCAGCGAAGCGGGTCCTTGCAGCTAGTGTATATATAAAAACTCTCTTCTTGCTAATGTCAATGCTCTAATATTTAAATATGAGCTGGATTTCAGGCTGTCATTCAGCCAATAATTTAATCAAACTACAAAATTTGGTCTAAAGATGGGCAATTAAGTTTCTGTGTTGTTTTTATAGACTGATTAATTAATTTATAAGCTTACTGATAAACTGAAAATATGGCTTGTAAACTTTTAGATAAATCTATAGAATCATGATTATGTATTTTATTATACAGATATAATCTTATTTGCACTATTGTATTCACTGCTTGTACTGTACATGCAATGTTTTATACTTAACAATACAGCCATTACAATATTTTACTTTCACATTGAAAAGTAACTAGATTCAAGACTAATAAAAACTATACAATAAAAAGGAAAAGTTTTAATTATTGAATTATTAAGATCTAATAATGGAACAAAAACTTGAAATCAATTCCATAATAAATACATATATATTACCTTTTTTCTGCTAAAAGTGTTTTTGATTTGAAGTTTCCTCCATTTACTTGTTCTTTAAAGATGGCTTTTACAACCGGTTTTTTCTGAACTGTTTCTTTTGTCTATAAATAACATGATTAAATTAAACTTTGACTTCTTACATATTTCAATGATATTTTCAGCAAATGTTAATAATAAAATTTATATTTAGATTCATATTATGAAATGTTTAATGAATAAAAAGTAAAAAATATTTAAATGCTTATATTGTAAATATAATTGTAATAAGTAATTAGTTATAGTAATTTCACTGTCACAAAAATTAAGTATAGCACAAATTTTGTCTGTCACTTGTTCATTGTTTTACATTGGTCACAAAGCATTCTTGTTTTATGATGAAATGCTTCATTTAAACATCTAAATTCACTACAGAGTTTCATTTATATATCATTTCCTTTCTGATAATGATGATAAATACTGCAATATTCTTCCAGAAAATTTCTTCTGAGTTTTTAAAACAGCGTTATTTGTTCTATTCATACTGTTCTCGTCAATTATCGAAATTAAATGATATAAAATTGACTCAACCAGATGTATTTGTCGTCAAAGAGGGAGGAATATCAATAAATTATTGGCTTATAGGTGCAACATGATCACAATATGGGAAAAATCTACTGTAGCACTCTACAAACATGTAAATTTTTCTCTTTAAAGTTGGTTCATAATTTGTGAGTACAGAAAAGAGAAAACAACATTAAATAGGTTTAGTGCACAACACTTCACATATTACTAGTGACATTATTCTATTCTCTTTTGTCAGAGAGAAAAGCTTACAAAAATTCTACTTTTCTTTCTGTTGGTAGCCCACAATCCATTGTGTCCTTCAATGTAGAGACTGATTCTAATCATTTCAATTTTATCAAAGCCGGATTATTTTTGATGGATTGTAATTTATCATTAATATATTTTAACTTAAAATGTGAACAGATATTATCTTTATATGTACATTTTAAACTTAGTGTATTTTCAATGTTTTACATCTCTAGATTTCTTTTAAAAGATAGATAAGCATAAAACATTAATATTTTCCATTCTCTCTTCTCAAATTAATTAGCTGTATATACTCTAATTTTTAAAGGAATTTTTATGACTTTGAAAGGTTAGGCCTATCTAAGCTTAATTTTAAACTACAAGTACTGAAAGCACATGAGTGTCTCTTTTATATTTTGAAGTATGAACACCTATGGGAATAGAATAATACAAAAGAGAAGAGAATGTGTGTCTTCTCTTTTCATTCTCACAAAGTATGATCTGGCCTTTAGTTTGTTATGCCAGATTTACATATCTTACCAGTAAAATTTTCATATCAGTTACTATTTACATATAACTGTTAAATTTTCTTTGTCAGTTTAATTTTTCAAGTGTTTGGTGCATTGGAAAATTTATATTTTGTCACTGCAATTACAAAAGGTCTTGTGAACTTGTTGAAAGTATAGTAGAGCGTTGATTATCCGAATCAATTGGGGACTCGGGTTGTTCAGAAAATCGATTTTTCGGATAACCGATTATGTACAAAAAAATACATTATTAATATAGTATATTAGTATATCCCATGTTTAAATTTTTCTTCGTTGCATGTCGCTTTGCGTTGAATTTTCGTCGATGTTAAGCCTAACGTAGATTTTTTAAAATAATAATTGTGGCTATTGTATCGTTAAAAATTATTTCTTTATTTTGTATAAACAAAATAAATATATTGAAAAATATAAAAACAAAAAAAAATTATACTTTAGAAGTTAATCTAGTATCAAAAACGTTTGATTCAGCACGACACAGTCTGACTGGAACGCTTTCGGTTAACTGACATTTCGGTTGATCAGCATTCGGATAATCGATGCTCTACTGTACATGTCAAATTCCCACTGTAGTCAAATCTCAATACAGCAATTATCAATATAAAGTAAAGTAACTAGAAAGAATACTAAGAAACTATATCATTAATATGAAATATAGCAGAACACAGAGCTTCTAACAAAATTAAAAAGTAAAAAAAGTTGAATGCAACAGAAAAAGATAGTTTGTATATTATAGCCTTAATAGATAAATTACTAAATATTACATTAAAAAACAATTAGAAATTTAAGCAAGAGATTAAATTCTCCTTGAGAATGATTCTTGGAGATTACAGGAAGTTCTATAAGAAAACATTTCTTGTCACAAAAGATTCTACTAGGAAGAATCAGTAAATGATAACAAAGATGAACTGCCTGATTTTGAAATAACAATAAAAGGCATGACGAGCTATGTAAGTTATCTTGTTATTCATTATTATTATTTTTAACAAGAATATTGTATAAGGATCATTTTTATTTGCTTGTGAAAAAACAGTATATTTATTATAAATTTATGTGCAAGGCATATAGTAATAAAATAAAAGTATACAATATCACATTCTTCAAGTTTATATAGCTTTAAAATTTAAAGATTCTTGTCAGGAAATTTAAAACGTTCTAAAATTTATCTTTGTTGAAATAGAAAGAATGAATTAAATTAACTTAGCTTGATTTTATTTATCCTATTTATAGTAATATTAGTCAGTCAATTATCATCAGTACAGGAGAGTTTCAAATTGATTACAATAAAAGGAGAAAGAGAATGACAAATACAAAACACCAAAATGCAAAAAATTTTTCCCATTCATGTTTTAGGCACTGTATAATAGTATCAGAGAACGATAATAAAAAGTCAACAAATGGTATTAAAATGGTGGAAACCACTTGTCAAAAAAAACTCGCCACAATTTAATTATAATTCAATTTGGACACAAGAAGTATGAAAGTAACTTAAGCACTAATAATAATCAATTAGTTATACATAAGTTTTTATGTTAAATTTATAGAAATTCCGCAAATATTCATCTGATAAAATGACAAAGGAAAAAATAATTTTTTAATATAAAAAAATAAGTCAAAATACCTTAAGTAATTTTTCTTCTTGTAATTCTTTTTCAATTTTTGAATAAACTTTTCTATAACGTGGTGAACAAGATGAAAAACTACCAAAAATACAAGTATCATCTGTATCATCTTGCTCTTCTGAATCTTCAATTTCGTGACAATATCTCTCACTGCGTGCTGAAGTGATTAAATTTATAAATTTTAAGTTTTTAGATTAAATATATAGTGGTTTAAATGTTAAAAATGTTTTTACTATCAAAGTAACTGGTGTCTTCATCATCAGTTAACTGTGGAACGAATTCTGCTTTTTGTCGAAGTAAAGAATCCCAATCTATACTCCAGAAAAATGCATGTTCTTTTACTTCATGTGCTCCTCCAGCTCCTAATCTATCAATTGGATTATGTTGAAGTAATTCTGTTATTAAATTTCTAGCATCTTCAGGAACTGGCCAATCTTTTTCATCTGGCCATTCAATCTCATCTATAAAAATGAAATTTTAAATATAATTTATATCTGAATATTGAGTAATTTACTGTGTAAGTTTCTAAAACTAGAAATTTTTTATTTAATAAAAATGTTAATACCATTAATTACATGGGCAAAAAGTTCTTCTGGAGTTTCTCCAAAGAAAGGGACACATCCAATTAAAAATTCATATAAAATTATTCCCATTGACCACCAATCTACAGGTTTCCCTGTAAGAGAAAATTTCATTCTCTCAATTATAGCATTTAAAACACTTAAACAAAATAATGTAAGATAATGTAACCAAAGTTTCTTTTTACATAATTTTTTTGTTTAGGAAAGATTGTGGATATGGAATAGTTTATATAGCATATTTTCATCATTTCTAATTTTTTAATTTGTCTAATAAATTCTCCTTCTAATTATGTTAATAAATGCTAAGGAATGATTTTATAAACAGTTTTATTAAACACTGAACTGTGACAGATTTACACAAACATAATAAAGCATTTCTAATGATTAAATTTACAATGAGATGGCAATGTAACCACCTACCTGTAGCTAAACTGATTTGTATTTATTTATTTACCAGCCTTAAAATAGCCCAATGGATAATCCAGCAAATCATTTGACTATACGTAATAAAACATTATGGTAAATATAATACATTATTATTTGTCTTAATGAATTATTTTAATCCACAAAGAAGCTACTTGGAAAGCTTCATTACAGGAAAATCAATTTAATTTTAACATTTATCATTGTTATTCATGCTAATGCTGAATCATTGTAATCCTATGTATTTTATTTCTAAATGATTATTGTAATTATATCTTTATTAAAATTAGAAATAATTTATATATATACATATTAAGAAGAATATTATGGAATTGATCAAGAAAGATAAACAGAATGTTTAAAAATTGTTTGTCGTCATCTTTCTTGATCAATTTCATAATACAAGTGTTTTAGAGGTGATTTATGATTTAATTAATGCAATAAGTATTAAATATATTAACAAGCAATTATTTATTATGACATCATCACAATGATGGGCTGCAATTTTTAATCATATTTTTTAATTTAAAATATGTTCTCCACCTCAAATTAGTAGTCCCCTGATCATCATACTTTCCTTTAATAATAGTCATGCAAGTCATCTAACACTTTTCAGAGGGAAATTTTTGAATTGAAATCATATGAATTCCAATTTGCATGAGAAGTTTTTATATAGTTAATTGGGGTCTCCTGCCCCTAATCTTTCCATATCTGGTCTTGACTTTCATGTATCTAACTCTGTTCTTGAGAGTAAGGAAAGACAGAACGATGGACAAACAGTGGAAATTTATAGGTCTGCAATTTTTGAAATTGCAGCCCAATTATTGTACTTACCATAACCTTGACGAACAATAACTTCAGGAGCAATATATTCTGGTGTACCATAAACTTGTTTATCATTGAACTGTTTTGATTCTCGATCAATATATCCTTCATATAAATTGGTAGCCACTACAATTAGAGTTTTCATATTATTAGATAAACATAATAATGATTAAAAAGAATATGAAAAATAAAACTTAGAATTATTTTAGTTCTTAATATTCAAAACAGCTAAAAAATAAAATACTTTTTATAATTTAACTTTATGTCCTATTAAAAATCAATCCCAATATCATCAATTATATGTAAGTAATTGTCAAATATCTATTCTTGTTTGTAGAGATAAAAGCCTTTTTTTTACACTTAATATATTGATGTAATCGAATGTAAATTTATGTTAAGAATTAGTATTATTACTACTTTTCAAATTAAAAAAAATTATTTTCTGTTCAAATTGAGAAGATACAATAAACTTAACTGCAAATAAATTTCATTATATTTGATTCTTTCTTGCATATTTAAAAACTGAAGTGTTCATTCCTGATGGAGAATATTATCCAGAAAGTAGCAATATTTGAATAATTGAATGAGTTTAGTAACTTGCAAAAAAGTTAAATGCATTAAATTTTTTTACTGCTTTAATTCCCACCACATCTGCTAATGAAATCATCTGCAAAAATTAATCCTTCATACACATTAATTACCAGTTTTAATTATTTGCTTTTCTATTAATCGTTTTTTCCCTGTATGTTAAATTAATTACTTTTCATTTGTTGTTTTATTTTTATAATCAGTAAAAATTGTCAGATTTATCACTTTGATAAAAAGCCTTGAAAAGTTCTGTGATTAAATTAAATTGGGAATCACTAAAGAATGATTTAATAAATAAGCAAGTAGGATTGGGCTCAGTAAAAACAGCATTTGAGTGGGTGTGCTGAGATTGTTAGTCATGTATCGGTGTGAAGTTCTCAATCATAAGAGCCTTATATCATGAACAAAATGGATTGACAATTATTATTTTTTTGCTGTTTGTTGATTGTAGTTCCATTCTGTGTATTGAATCAAACAAACATAAGTAATAATTTGTTGCCTTCAAACACAATGAAGTGTCTTAGTTTATAAGAATTCATTGTGTTTGAAGCGACACAGTTTGAAGCACAGTTTCAGATTATTAAAATAATTAGTAATGCTATTTATTGTATGTTTATAAGTTATAAAGGTTGCTCTAGTTCAGTGTTTCTCAAAGGGGCAATATCGCCCCCATATGGGTGTTTTTCCATGTTGAGGGGGCGATTAGTAACAACTTATATTTTAGGGGAGCGAAAAACAGTTTTCTGGGCGATATAGTAAAATATTATATTAAGAATACTTAGATATTTTATTCGTTATATCGTACAATAATTAAACAAATAACATTATACTAATCACTAGTCTATTCAATGCAGTACGAATTTGGCGTTAGCTTTGGTCCTCGGCATCGGAATTTTGAAGTGAAGGGGCGATACTACGTTGAACGGGGCGACGATTCGTTAGAGGTTGAGAAACACTGCTCTAGTTCCCACACATCACATATTATACTTCTTATACAAGATGTTCCTTGTTTCCCTTCCTTCTATATGTTCTAAGTGTAGTAAAGTGGTCTATGTCAAATAAAATCTTTTTTGAACCAGAAGGAAGTCCTTCTGTCATCTGTCCCTTCATCCATAATAACCATCATAATCAAAGAAAGTGGCTAAAAGTCTTAACTATCATTTCTATTAAACTGATGTGAACAGATTTGTTTGTGTTTATTATGACAAAAAAAATATAATCAATGTTAGAATATCAATTTAAAATATTTCTTAAATTTACATTAAAATTTCAAAATTATGGAAATTTTTATTATTTAAATATTATATTAAATGAATAAAAAATTATGTATGTGTGCGTTGCTAAATATACAAAATTTATTGTAAGAATAATAACATACAAAACTAAAATATATTGAACCAATATTTTTTTTTCCAAAATTTAATCTGTACTATTTTTAAAAATTTTAATGTGTTAATGTATTGTTTGTAAGTTAGTTCAATTTTATACAAAGTAGAACATGAAAGTTGCCTTTAAGGGATTGAAAATGTTTCTCATGTAATATGATCAAATTATTTAAAATTGTTTAAAAAACATCAAAATGCCAAGTCTTTAATGATTTAAAGACTTTCCATATTAAAATATTTAAAATTCAATATATTTCTATTAGATACTTACAATTCATTAACCCAACTTTTGATAACCCAAAGTCAGTTAACTTGATATGTCCCATAGAAGTTATTAACAAACTGAAATAAAATTATTTTAATAAATATTTAATACAGACTTAAATGAAAATAAAATAAACCATACTTGTCAGGCTTTAAATCTCTATGTACAATTCCATAACTATGTAAGTATTCCACAGCAAGAACAGTTTCTGCAAAATAAAAACGAGCGAGATCTACTGGTAGTGGACCCATATTTTTTAACAATGTAGCGCAGTCACCACCTTCAACATATTCCATCACCATACATAAATGTCTCTAGAGAATTTTAAATAAAATATAATCACATGTATGCATAAAAAAACACTCTCTATAAAAACAGAAAAACATCAATTATTATTTATAGAGGTAAATAGTCTTTTCTTCCATATATAAACTACATGAAAGCAAATAAATATTACATATATTGGTTATATAAATAATACCGGAGAATAAAAAATAAAATTAGCCAAGTATAAAAATTTAGAAATTAATCTTACATTTTCCTTTCTTATCTCTTTCTTACTTTTAAATTTGTAAAATGTAATGAATCTAATTGACAGAATTGAAGATATCATATTACTAATTATAATTATCTGAATTTCTTCAATATTTTGAATTTATTTAAGATCTCTATAATTATGCATATATTCTTATACATTTTTAATATTTAATACAGCCATACCTCAAGTATCCAAATTCTTGCTACAATACGTAATACTCTTTACTATGCAATGCTATATCTGAATTGAACAATCCCAGTATTATAAATTTATTCAAACTGCATTTGTGAAAAATTTGTAATTAAGTGCTAAGTAACTAAAGTGAGAAATAGGAATGAATCTGTGTTCCAGTGTCTGTTTTCATTTGTTTGAGTGGCATATTTGTGTTATACTGAAGTCGTATAGTTCAGAGATTTTTTTTAATCACAAAATTTAAGTGCAATATTTTAAGCTTATCCTTAACAGTTCATTACAGTAGGTTCATTATTTTGTAATTTTCATTATTATTCTATTTTTATGCAGTAATATTTTAGTGAAAAATGTACAGTACAGTACAGTATAATTATGACATTTTTATTGCTTATCTACTGTATATTAATGAAAACAGTTCATATACTATTCCTAATAGGATGTACTATGCAAACCTAATCATTATATTATTGCTTACAAACATATTCTATACAGATGTTAAAGGATATTTATTAATAGGCAATTACAATTTGTATGTTTAATAGCATGTTAAAATTATGAACTGATAGATAATAGGTCTCTCTGCAGAATTTTAATATCATTTGATAAAACAGAATGAGGTTATTCAGAAAGCCTGAAAAGCACTGGTTTTTTTCCAAAGGAAATAATAGAAAAATGTTCTAATATCTGAATTCCTGATTTGAATCATTTTCAGGAACACTTTAGATCTGAATGATATGATATGGCTGTAATTCTCTGCATACAGAATATTTGAAAATATTGGAATTTTTATATAATTTGTACCTATTTTAATAAATACTCTTCAAATGTAAAAATAATTGGTTTTTATTAGTGAGATAAATGAATTACCTCATTACATTTTGCATGTAATTAAATCATTAAATTAGATTTGGCAATATAATAAGCCATCAGTTTAATGGACTAAGATTAAAAAAGATGTTCCAGAAACAACTAGTCTGTAAATGTTTACTACTTCAAAAAGGCACATCTAATATTCATGAATTATCCCAAACGAAAATTTTTTTTTATACAAAGCACTACAATTTATCCTTCAACTAAACTAGGAATGTGATTATAAATGAACAGTAGGTATTCTTTATGGACTAATTAACTGCTACATCAGCTTTAAAAAAAATGCTAGAACAGTTAGTCTAGAAAGCACAAAAAGAATCCAATTAAAAAAAATCAGCCCATCAAATAAAAAAGATATTGTTCTTTTTATTACTCAAAAGAAAACTTTTAACAGAATTTTATATAAAATGAATTTCAATGCAATGAAAATATTTTATTCTATTATTTAATACAATANAAAAATTATACGTATTTTGGAAATGTTGAGTGGAATTAGTCTAGAATCGGTTAATTTTATAGAAGAAAACCTTTCGAACAGCCTTAGTCCGTAAAGTTCACACCTATCGGGCTGCGATTGGCTCATGTATTTAATCATTCCTACAACGTAATTTTCGGTTAGCGTGGAACGTATCTAAGCGTTATAGGGGGGGTCTACTGTATATGAATATTTAACAAACACCTAAGCTAATAACTGGTTGAAGAAAATCATTCTTAATCCAATCAGAAATACTTATATTACTATTAGATTGTTTATTATTGAATCAAAGCTTGCCAATTCTTTTGGTCTATAATATGTTTATGCATTAGTAATTTAGCTGAATCTTTTAATTTAATTAATTATTCTAACAGAATTAAATATAATTACACACACTGCAAATAAAAGTTGGATGCTCACCTTTTCTAACAGTTCTAGCCATTTTAGAATCAGTTTAAGTGTTGAAAAAGATTAAACTGTTTGGATACATGTTATTGATCAAAACAAACATGTAATAAACTTTACAACTATTTATGGTAATTTATATCTTTGTATTAAGAGATTAATAATGTATTTTTTAAACATTTTAAAATTTGATTAAAGATCTTTATTTGCAATATAACATAATTTAATAAACTTTTATATTTGAATATTGATTTTAAAACTATTTTAGAGCTTTTATAATTTAAAAATTTGGAACTTAAAAAAGTAAAAACTTGTCACAAAAATCTTTTTCATATAATATAGATAGATAAATAATTCCTAAAAATAAAAGATGGATGGATGTTCTATGAACTCTTTATAAATAAGTTGATAAGCACTTGTATAATTTAAGAGATTTAGTAAAGCACTGCATTGCATTATATTTTGTTTTCTGATTTAAAATTATATCAATTTTTCAATCCAAATTTAAAACTATACTTATTAAATATATCATATATATTTATTAGATTTAAATCTTACTTTTGTCTCAAAACTACACAGCATACTGACAACAAATGGATTATCTGTAAAACTCAGAATATCTCTTTCTGCAAATACTTGTTCAACTTGATTGCGAAGAACAAGATTATGCTTGTTGATCTTTTTCATAGCAAATCGTTGTCTGGTTTCCTTATGCCGAACAAGATACACAGCTCTAATATAAAAGTTTTAATTTAATGATTACTATTAAATTCAAGAAGACAATACTAGAAATAAAAATGCAAGAAATCTGTCAACAATTCTTACCCATAAGCTCCATTACTTATTAATTTTACAGTTTCGAAATCATCTTCTCCTGGGGACTTCGGTTTATTTGTTACTCTTTTAGAATTCTATAAATATAAAAACCTTTCAAACATATTACTGCTTTCTAAATCTCAAAATTTAATTATTCCATTTATTAAAAAAAGTATAAACTTTCTTTTAAATAATTTAAGAATGAAATACCTCATTTTCATCCATTTGAAAATCAGTTGAATCAAATTCATTAGATGCAACATAACCACCTAAATCTATATAATAAAAAATAAAATGCTTGAAATTTTTTTTATTTAAAACATTTTTTAAGATATGTAAGAAAATGGAACAATTCAAACATTTAGTGTTTAGGTATTTAAAATTTCATATTAAATAAATACTAAATTTTCTTTTCCAGAAATTGTTCTTGAATTTTAAGCTTTTCATGTTTTAAATGCTTCCTTTTTTTTAGATTTTTAAAATCTCGATTATGTTTACTCATATATCTAAAATACTATCAAAACACGCATTCACCGAGTAAGTATTGAAGCATATTTTGTGGGTAGAAAAGGTTGATTACCCACTTTTCAAACCTACTAGAGTTTCATCATGTAAACAAGTTTACATCCAATTAATGATTGATCAATTAAGCAATGGCTATCCTGGAATAAAGTAATGTTTATGTACAGTACATACATATATTATAGCCATAAGTTTGAGTAATTATACACAGGTAAAAAAAAAATCTAGAAGTTTGAATTATTTAGAATAAATAGAATGGATTAAAAGCAACTAAAGCAATGCTGCAGTTATCTTAAGTCAAAATAAGTAACAGAATAAGGAAAAAAAGAATAATAGGCTGATTTTATGCATCCAACTAATGCTGTAACAAAATTCCTGTTAATCATATTTTAACTGCACTCTGTAACTGCTATTACAGTATACTAGCAAAGGCCTGCTGAAAAATAGCCCTGATTAATACTAATGTACAGTACAATAGTGTGTCAATTATTGGAAAAATCAATTAACCAAAACTGATTTCAGAGTGTACAAATTCCAGAAATTATGAAGTTTTTATGTAATGATGATTGTTGGTGATCTTCTATAGGTATGCTGTTGAGATATCCATTTTTTATTATTATGTATTCTTTTTAATTTTGAATTTAAAGTTTTATCAGTAGTTACATTATAGATTGCAAGGGAAAACTAATGCTTATTTTTAATAAATCAGACAAAATTTTCATTATTTGTCATCAATTGTATGTATTAAATTTCTTGCTGTATTTTTTTTTTTTTATTTGTATCAGAATTACATAGCTTAAACAAAAGTAAAAATATTATCTTTTTATTCTATTCCTACTGAGTATGATTGAAAAAATCGGTTGTCCAAGGGTGTCCTGTTCTGATTATTCTGAATAATAATCTCATACAAAAACAATGTTTTAAAAAAAAATAGTTATAAATGTTACATATTGTAATAAATATAAAACATTTTAGTTAATCCTTATAAAAAAAAATTAAAGTTTATAGATGAAGACAAACCTGCAAGTGGATCTCTATTGAGTCCTAATTTGTTAATGATGTATTGGGGTATTTCATTACTAACACCTTGAATAATTTTGGCTTGACCTTCTGCTGCTTCTAGAAGTCTATAAAATTCTTCAGGATCAAACTCCTATAATATTAATAAGATTTACACAGTTAATTAATCTAATTTTTATAATCATTGGTTTTTAGAATCTTTAGAAATTAATTTTTAAAAATGTAATAACTATTGTATATGGGAGTGACTCTGAAAGTTTGGAATACAGGAATACTATAAGGCATGAAATAAAATATCTTTTATTTATGTTCAAAGGACTCTCCTCTGGCCAAAATGCACTTACGTAGTTGCTCCTTCCAAAGATCAAAAACATAACACCACTCATTTTCTGGAATGCTATCAAAATACTCTTTTATGGAAACTTCAATTTTATCCTCTGTGTTAAATCTGCAACTCCTCAACGTCTTTTGAAATAAAAAATAGTCAGAAGTCACACAATGCCGAATATGGTGAATGTTGAATGATTCTTATATTATTAGCTTGAAGGAAATCATGTCTTCTTGGCAGTGTGTGATGAAGGATTATCATGATGCAAAATTTGACTTCAAAGCTAGTCTGTCTCATTTAGATTAAGGGAGATTGATAAAATTTGTTTACGCATAATGTGCCATAGGAAGTTTATTATTTAAAAAAAAAAATAAACACTAATTCATCATGGATGGTGTTCTTGCATTGCAAAATTTTCAGAGTAACCCTCGTATAATTAAAAAACTTTATTAACATTGTGTGTAATCATAATTAAAATTTATTTACTCATTTTTTCCAAGGAGAAAAAAATTTGCCATCTTAAAATTTTTAAATTTGTTATATTTATAAAGAAAATAATAGAAGATTTTTTTTTCTTTCATAAATCTCAATTCCAAAATTATAAAAAAAGTGATATTTCATTCATAGAAAAGCAACTGAATTTCATATCAGTATGAACTTTTTCAAAGGTATTACTTTCAATTGAATAACTCTTGGTATCATATTGTAAGAAATATAGATTACTTCATATCATTATGTATAAAAATATATAATAATGTCTGTAATGCTTTTTGAATCCAATAACCACTGTACAGATCTTTACAGTCAACACACATTTTTATAAAGCATATGATTTAGGACTATTCTATAAATCTACACTTCTATATGGATATCTCATTTTTGATATATTTCTGCCAAAACTTTACTTTATTGCATTCCACAATTCACCCTTTCTTAAAGTTTCTTCTGTTAGTGCCATATTTAAATTAATTTGGTACTGACAAAAGTCTTATGTGATATTTTGTTATAAATATTTATGCTACTTGAAATTTCATAAAATTATAGATTATTTTAAATATTAAAAAACTTTTATTTTCAAAATTATTTAAATTTTCTTATTTATATTAGATTTTTCAAGATGTCTTGGCTGTATATTCTCTTCTTGAAAATATTATTTTAAAGAGGCGTTTCTTCAATGAGTGTACAATTTTGAATTAAATTTTTTGTAATATGCTTTGTTTTTGTTTTATAATACATAGTTTGAACATTTACACATAAAAGTATTATTTATTTTATCAAAAGATCTGCTAGATATTTTATTAGGCTATATTAAGACAAATTAATAATCAGATATTACAAGTGTGTCAGGTTATTGCATATATTGTATTCACTATATATTTTATTAAAAACAATTAAAGTCGTCAAAATTGTTACAAAATATTTATACACATTTCTACATGAAAGAATTATTTGGCAAATAAATTAGATCTTATCATAAACCATAAACAAAAACAGAATACAGTAGATCCCCCTATAAGACGGGTTCCTATAATTACGATTCCTATAAGACGGTGAAAAAATTGTGGCGTATCCGTAAACAATAGTAAAAAAAACTATAATTACGTAAAATGTCATCGGGCAGCCGAACTACTTTCCGCCGTCTAGTGCTACGCTACGGAGAGTTTAGGCGAGTAAGTTGAGTTTAGTATCGTCTGTACATATAATTTTATATAAATTAGGTACTGTATATATAATTATATATTAACTTAATTTATTGTAACTTTATTATAATTATATATATACTTTCCGCCATCTAGCGCCACGCTACAGACAGTTTAGTCGAGCTATCGTCTGTACAGCATGTAAATTAGGTACCGTAAGTCTAATACAGTACTGTAATTTTATACATTTCTTGTGAAAGAAACATTTCTTATTCAACGGCGATTAAAATTATTTATATTAATGATGTCTCCAAAGTTCAGCGAAGTTTTCGCAGAAAAATAACATCAGAAATCGCAGCCACGGTTTGCTGAGTTGTTCTGTGACGAAAACAAGCTTGAGCAACGGCGATGTAGAATGGTGCACACTTGGTAAGTAATCCTACAATTTTTTGTTTATAGCGTAGTTTATACGGATTATTTCCAAAAAAAATATACGTATTTTGGAAATGTTGAGTCGGATTAGTCTAGAATCGATTAATTTTATGGAAGAAAACCTTTCAAACAGCCGTAGTCCGTAAACTTCACACGTGTCGGACTGTGATTCCTACAAAATTGATTCATAAAGAACGGAACGTATCTACCGTCTTATAGGAAGATCGACTGTATAATAGTTTGCAATATAAATGTAAAAAAGAAAAAATTAGGCATTTATGGTAAAACTTGTAATATAGCAGTATTAAAAATATTTAATAACTATACAACTATAACTGAAAGTTACATGCAGATAATAACATTATTATTGATATGTTATTGCAAATATTGCAATTATCTATGATAAAATCATCAATTTATTACCTATCTATCAGTAAATATATTTTAAAAGTTATAAAATTAATTAAATACTTTGCAATTATTATAATTAATTTATCTTTAGTGCCAATAAAATATTCAGTTACTTGTAAAAACAAATTTTTACATGAGGATTTGTAAAATTAAGAATGAACTTTTTCAACTGTTAAAATTTTATTATTAAGAGTAAAGACGTTTCATTGAACTTCAAATATTATATATTTTAAGTAAAACATCATTATTTTCAAAAAAGAGTTGTACCTGTAAGAAAAATTGTATTACTATTCACTTTTACTCAAAAATTATATTGAATTTTCACAAAAAAATCTTGAATTTTAATCCTCAAAGAAAAATATATAAATTGTTTTAAAAAAAATCTTACCAAACATTCCAGAAGACGAGCTGGACGAGAAACAATAACCAATAATCGTTTAATTAATTTTTTCAAATACTGTGCTGATTGTGGAGATTTCTCTTGACACTAATAAATAAGAATAAATTTAAATGAAGTCTAAGATATGTTAGGCATTACCTTATTATATAAACATCTATATATTTAAAAACATCATGGGCACTGAAATAAATTCATATAAATCAACTTAAAAATAAAAATTTTTTCATCTAAAAATACAGTTTAGAAATCCTGAGGATGAAATACATAAACTTTCTATTCTTAACATATGGTTTCCAAAACATGTAATGTTTTTTTTTTTTTTTAAATTCAAACTTATCTAGTTCTAAATAGATTTCTGTGTGATTTACAGCATTTTACTGTATTCAGACAATGAATATCTTTACTTAATATTTTTTATTACTTTAATTTGTAATATTTTTGAATTGTAATCAAATTTATATGTATTATTACAACATTTACTAATGATACTTTAAAAATTAAACAAATAACTGACAGCCAGATGGCCAAGAAAGTAAAGTTTGGCATAGAATTCTACCAAATAAGCTGAGCTGAGCTACAGCTCATAATTTTGATGGTCAGCTCAGCTCTCAGCTAGAGTCCAGAATCACAAATTGACAGCTTGGTTCAACTTTCATCCAAAATTCAGTTTTTTTTTTTTTTTTTTTTGTAATTCAAGATAGACTCTGTCCTGTCCACTTTGAGTTATTGGGACTCTACTGAACATATTTTGCTAGAAATGACTGTCATTACTTGCACCATTTTAAAATATTACCCTTTATTACTTTTAAAAAATCTCGTAACCTAAGAATTGTCAATAAGTTAGTTCAATTGCTTAATGCTTGATTAGTTTTTATTTGATTGCTCTCATTTTAATAACAGATAAATTAAAAACATATCCAATATACTGTATCCATTCTTATTACAGATGCAATCTAATATCAAAAATGGGCTTTACTGCAAACATAGCTCAGCTCAGCTCAGCTCCTAGATCTGATCCAAATTCACAGCTTACATTTGTAAATGGCTAAGCTAAGCTATGATGAACTCTAGTGTGGCCATCTGGGTTAAGAACTTTACAAATTTTTCATAGGTATTGTGGACATGTCAGATCCCATCCACATTACACAGTCATCCTTATTCTGAGCCTGGCCAAACTCATTATGGGCCATGCAGACCCTGTTAATGCCAATAGTGCAAACAGTTATATAAAAAAAATGTTTCACCTAATCATTTTCAAAATTATCAATTCATACTTTTTTTATATTTGTTTTATATTTACCTCAGTCAATAATTTTTCTAAATTTTCAGACATTTCGTAGAAATAATGAGAAGTAATCAATTGCTCCTTGGATTTTTCTAAACAATCGCTTGCCATAGTTACAATTTGATGATGTGCAAATCTTCCAACAGCATCGGATGAAAGTGATGATGGAAGTTCTTTATTATCTCCAATAAAATGATCTAATCTTTCTTCCATCTGCTGTGTAGCCTTCAAATTCATATTTATAAAACATACACAAACAAATTATTTAAAATCAATTACTACATAATTAAAGTTTAAAGAAAAATGTCAATTTCAATATATATATTAATATTTTATTCAATGAAATTGAAATTAAATACAAAATTATTTTTATATTTTGATATTAGTGATGCTTCTATGATCATTAAAAAATAAATTTGATCAAATAGAAAATTATATTGATACCGAGTACAATTAACTTACCTTATTTTCAGTTTTTATTTATAAAAATTTTATTTAAACTTGTAACATTTGTAAATATCTTAAGGAATAAATATTTTAACTGTAGTTATTAAAACTGGCATAAATATGTAGAGACAGTTGTAAAAAAGCAATTTGAAGATTATTAATAAATTATCTTGATATAACTCTGCATACATGTTTTTCAATTTTTGTCAAACTATTTTCTATAAGATTAATATCAATCATAACTTCGAATATTAACATTCATAGTATTTGAATTATCAATGAAAATATTTGTAACTATACTGAAATGTTTGTAAGTTTTTTGATATTTTATTGCCTTTTTTTTTTTGTTATGTTTGATGAATTCAAAGATATTTCATACAAAAATACATGTATATAGATGAATGCAATTCTTATTTTTTGTATTGAAAAACTCAGTTTAAAAAATTATACTGATGATTATTTAAAGTAAATGATAAGTTTTTACAAATATTTAATTTGAATAAAACTAAAGGCCAAACAATCACCAGATTACATTGGGCTACTTTTCCATGATTATATTTAATTAATTAATTATTAAATAATTTGTCACTAGAGAAGGTATTAGGTGCCATCTCTTAATATGAGGTTTGTTTATGTATGAATTAAACTATAATCTAGTATAGTATTTTTCACTATATTTTGAAATGGTTTTAATATGTTAACTCCAAAAATGCATTTGTTTATAAATTTATAGTAATGCAATGTTTTTATCTATTATTTTAAATTTCTAACCTTAGGAAATCTTTCTTTATAAATACTGTTCATCATAATTATTTCATTATCCATTCCAGGTGAACGCATTGGACTGCTAAAAAAAATTAATTTATTACCTTTATATAATAAAATTTTCCTAAATAAATAAATTACTTATTTTTAATTTAATGAATTATCTCTACATATAAATAAACTATTGCTAAATTTTTAATAGAAAACATATCTAAAAGCAAAGTCATTTTTAGACTGGAATTAGACCAAATTTCGTAATTCTAGTTAAAAAATAATGTGGCTTTTAATTACATTTAAATTATTTCTAATTAATATGACTAAAAATTGTTAAAATTTTTAAAATATAAATTCATTTAAAAGGCATTTTACTATTAAGATAAATTGTAATTAAATGTGTCTACTTTCAATTTTAAATATTTTTTAATTGCATTATTTGAATAGGTTAAAAATATGTTTAATTAAATATAAACATTGTCTAGTTATCAAATAAAAAATTTAAATGCTTATTCATATATTTATAAACGTGTGTGTACGCACACGCACCATATTTTTGTGTATATAACCTGTGGTTGTGTGTGTTTAAGAAACAATTTGAAAAGGAGCATGGGTTATGCAATGGGACAGGTTTTATGATGATTTTAAATTGCATCTATGGAGCAATGGCACAGGCAGTATAGTCAAATGGGTCACAAAAGTCTTATTTTTGTTATAGTAATTTTCTGCAGGTTATACGTCATTTCAGATTATACACCGCCACGAGTTTTATGTGCAAAAATATGGTACATTTCTTTATGACAATATTTTCCATAAAATTTAACAAAATTATGTAAATATAATAAATACATAGACTCAATGCTTATTTTCAAAACAAAATCATTAACTTCTCCAAACTGTGATAGAGAATAATGCTTTTAATGGAGTACCAAAAACAGCAAATTAACACACATTTAACAAAAGCAAACATTTTAATGTTTATCTTTAGAAACTCGACTAAAGAAAATTATCTTGCTTTCATTACAACAGAATATTTTATCCATTGAGTTTCTAGAAAATTCAATTTTGTTAATTTTCATATTCCATTAAAAGCATTTTTCTTTATTTATCAATGATTTTTATTTTTTGGTTAATAAAATATTATTCAAAACTATATAACACTGTTGTCTATATTATTGAAAGGTTTAATCATTTACAAAAAAAAACTTGAAACATGTTCAAAATAAACATATCATTGATTGTCTGCGTAGGTGTTTATGGGAGATGTGCATGTTCTCATACATATCTAGATGCACTTATGTCCACTCAAATTATACAAAATGTCATTCTAATTAGAATTATCAAATTGCTAATAGTTTATAACTGATTTATGAAATTTCAAAGTACAAATAAATAAAAACCAATCATTTATATAAAAAAGAGGAAAAAATTAATTTAAAATATCTTACAATGTTCTTTTGAAACCTAGCATAAAATTGCTATTGAGAAAATACCATACAGGAACACTCCTCTTGGTGGAAAAAATGGATTTTTATTTTCTAAAATTTACAATGGATATGCAATAAAAACTGGTCAAAAAAGGTTTTTAACTAGTTTTTATTGGTTTTAAAGTTTTTATATTTTTACTACATTTAATGGTCAATTTTATCTACGTTTTAACCAAAATATTTTTATTTTTACACTATTACTTGTTCTACTCCATGTTTTTAACAATTACTTATTCCAGTAGTCACTATAATTATATTTTTAATTTTACCATTATACATAAAGGACTGAAGAAAGGCATATGGCCCAAAATGCATATCCATTGTAAATTATAGAAAATAAAAATCCACTTTTTCCATCAAGAGGAGTGTTCCTGTATGGTATGTTCTCAATAGCAATTTTATACTAAGTTCCAAGAAACATATAATAAAAAAAATTATAATACATAATAATATATATNATCCTTCACAATCACAGGAACACAATTTAATGTTAGTGAACTCAACCTTTCTTTAAATGTTCTTCTCAATCAACACACACACACAGAAAACATCAATTCTGCTAATGTCAAATTGTGTTCCTGTATATGTAAAGGAAATTTACAAGACTTCAAATTTTTATTTGTATTTGGTCTTCAATTTTAAATAATTTTTATTAATATAAATTTTGTTAATAATATTTAAATTTAACATATAATCTTACTCATTTATCTTTATGTAACTGTAAAATCAATATATTACTTCTTAGTAATTTTGATGGGCACTTGCAAAATTAGTAAGCAGTAATATATATGATTTTACAGTTATATAAAGATAATAATTAGATGTGTGGATTATTCATTTATTATTATTATGTATTTTTCCAGTAATCAACAAATTTTTAATTTCACTTTTTAATTATTTCCTCTAAAATTCTCATTAATTTATTCAGGAAGAAAAAAAAATTAAAAAAATATGACTAATTTGAATTGCTGTATTTATAATATAATCATTTCCGTTGAATGCTAATTAAATAAATAAAAGTAAATTTTTCCTTTCTTGAAAAATATTTTTCTTTAACTTACACAGTAAACCCTCAATTGCAATTTTGTGACGAGTCACATTATAACAACCAACAGAGATGGTTTGGGTTATCTGTAGTCTAACTATCTACTACCTTTAATTGAAATTACATAATATTTATAAATACTAGCTGTACCTGGCCATGTGTTGCTGTGGCTCAAAATGTATCTATTATAAATGTATAACACTCCTCGCAGGAGGAAATTTTGAAAAATCCCTTTTTAGTGTACATTCTCTTGATGTACCATATTAAAACGCAATCAAAAATGCAAAAAACCGCATCTAAAATAGTAACATAGAAGCCAAGTTCTTCACGATAAGCCTTAATTTTGTCTCTCTCCCCCACGGGGAAAATTTCGACATCTATATAATATAAAAACACGTGCATATTTGAATGCAACATTGTGTCAAAATTTCAAAGCAATCGGTAAAGAACTTTCAGAGATTTAAGTTTTTGAACAAACGAGCGTTTACATTTTTATTTATATAGATAATTCATTAGCTAAGTTATAGCCTGATAATTAATTCAGCTGTATTATTTGTATACATTTTCTGGAAATTAGTATTAAAGTAAAAGCTAAAATGTTATGCTATAGTAATATTATTCTTTTTATCAAACAAGTATTTAGATAACCAGAATTTTAGATAACATCAACTTTCAAACAATGTCAAAAGGAAAAACTTTAAAAAAATCCTACAAGTGCAATTAATAATGGACCTTCTTACATCAATGAGTGAATTGTTATATTTTGCACAGTTTCACTTTATAGCTTATATTAATATTAAAGAAACTGTTAAATCTAAAAACATTGAAATTGAAAAAGTCAAAACTATATTTTTAGCATCCTTTTTTCATTAGATAATTGCAATAATGACACACGATATCTTGTATAGAATTTAACAGTAGATTTACATTACCTACTTTTCTAGTATAATGACATATCTTTATGATCTCTATATCTAAAGTATTAGCTATCTGAACACATTATAATAGGGCATTTAAATTAACATTTCCATTGTAAAAAACATTCTATAACTTTTTTGTTGAAATCAATATAAAACTTTAACTTGAATAACTTTCATTCATGCTTTTAATATTAGCAACGTAGAAATTTTCAATACTTTAAAAATGGAAATTGTACTAGTTCACTTTTTACTAAATGCAAAATCATTTCATCATTGAAAATTAATCTTTCTGCAGACAGACTTTCTATATGCTCTTTTGTGTTTAAGCAAAAAATCAAAATGAAGTAATTAAATTTCTTGTGTAGGTATGCTAAACTGTCATCTTTCAAATCTAATGTATTCGTTGTCACTGTGAGCTAAATTTTGTAGAACTGCAATAAAATATATTCAAATTTTTTGTAGTCGCATTTGAAATACGAGAATACTCTATATCTTACAAATTAGATGAAACACTTGAAACAATATAAATCAGCTTTTAATTTTTTTATTTTTGCTGAATATTAAAGTACAAATATTTTCAAATAGTCTTTTACAATCATGTTAGGACCAGAACAAAAAGAAAAGATAACATTCTAGAACATACACAAAATGTAAAATTTATAAACACAATCTTCTAGATTCAAATAGGGATTTAAATTATGTATGCATGCTTAAACATTTTTCTCCGTATAATTTTTAATGTAACATGTTTTATTGGTTATTTTAAAATTTGTTCCTTTTCTTCTTTTAATTGTAATTTTTTAAACTTTGTGTATAGTTTCTTTTAATTTAAATCTCACCTACACTCTAGAATGTTATCTTTCCTTTTTGTTCTAATCTTAAAGTGATTGTTTAAGACAGTTAAAAATGTTTGATCTTTAACATCCAGCAAAATCAAAAATTTTAATTATTATCATCCAAAATCAAACTATTTTTGAAATTATTTAAAATTTATGTTTTTTTTCCACATCATCTGAAACCAGAAAAAGATATCAGAAACAGAACTGTTGAAAAAAAAACCATCTCCATTCCTGTTGTATATCCACTACATTTTCTTAGAAATTGAGCACAGAATTTCTCAGCAAACTCTCATGGCCAATAACAGAAATAACAACAAGCAAAAATGAATGACAACATTGGTATTGCTACATATCTTGTCAATATGAAATTTATCACTTATCAAGGAAAGTTGAAAATAAGTTGTAAACAACTGTGATGCACTTTTACCAAAAGTGACTGTACCTCACAGCCTGGTTCGAACATGTTTGAAAGTTAAAAAAAAATTAGAATGCAGTAATATTTGATCGATAGCATGGTTTTTCATATTCAATCCTGAAGAAAGTCAACAAATTGTGGCTGAAAACATTTGAACAGTAAATATTGTTTATTTGTTTGCTGGAAATTTGTGTTAGGTGCTATTCTGTTAAATTGTAAACAAATTCTTTTATACTCTTCTACTCTTTAATTTGAAAACTAAGCTGCAGAATAATGTTGCCAGCAATTAGAAAAATACTGGTAATTTATTAGACCAAAATAATTCCTGTTAAGTCCTCCATTTTTTTTTTAATATCTAAATCAAAACAAAAGTAAAAAAGTATGGTTTCACTTACTCATATTTATAAATTATTTTTTATCTTGCTAGATTAAATCTAAATAACAATAAGCAATCATTTTACTTTAGATTCCATGATTATATTTAATATTTTTAACATTTATCAAATAGAGATTTAATCTGAAAAAATATAAAATATTTTCTTCCAAGAGCTTTCAAAAATATTATAGATATTCAATAGTTTTTAAATTAAATTTAATTGTTAATTATTTATTTAATAATAAATATAAGTAAGAAAAATAAGAGTTTATAATAACAACAACTTTTTGCCTTGATTTATGTCTGAAGTTGGATTCATAATCTGAAACTGTTAATAATAAAATAGAGTATATTGCTTTTAAATAAAAATTAAAATTAAACAAATTTACAAACAAATCAAATAACCAAATAAATTGTATTTTTCAAACTGTTTTTGTGCTAGGAATTTGACAATGTAATTTGTTTCAGTACATGACATCTAGCACAGTTTGGCTGTTTGATTTGATTAAAATTAAAAAATATTTAAAATTTTCTTTAAGAATACAAAAGTATTTCTCACCTGACCAACAAAATCTGTATAAAACATGTCATGACACATAATTGCCATCCAACTAAAAAGTGATACTACAAATAAATGGAAAAGACGGCGTGGCATATATATAAATCCATGCAACCTTAGCCACGGGGATAAAATCCTATTTAGAGGAGCACTCAAACACCTTAATATTGATGATATTGGAATTTTTAGTGCACTTATTGTCCTGTGGCTAAATCTCTTCAATGATAAAAGGCACAAAGAAAATGTACACTTGCTTTTTTGAAAAGTCTCTACAGTCATATTCTTTGCATATAATTTCATTCCATTACAATGTGCTAGCTTTTTAAAAGGCACATGTGTACCATTGAGAAAAGTTTCAGTTTTCTTATTACTATTAATTCCATTTGCAGTAACTGTGTTTTTATTTTGACAATGTGAAATTTTATTTCCATTGCTTAAGTGAACTTTATCATAGCCATTAATAACAATTTGTATTTCTTCTTTAATTGGATGGTAAACAGTCTCTTGAGCAAGGAATAAATTAACAACTAGAAAAATAACAAAAAGTGCTGCTAAAGATACAAAAACTACTTTCTCTTGACTTCCTAAGAGTTGTCCTAAATTTGTAGATCCCCAATTTAATGATGATATAAAATATCCTATACATCCTCCAAGTGAAAGCATACAAGAATAAACAGTGAAACCTAATTCTTGATCACGTGATGATATAAGCATATCTGAGATCAAGGCTTTGCATGGATTTTGTAATGCTTGGCTAGTAAAATCAAGAAGNTTAATAAGAATTTATTTTTTTAGTCTTTGTTATTTAGTTTTCAATATTTAAAGAACTAGAACAAAATGAATACAAACTTATATATAACAAACACAAATACTAAAAGCAAGCAAAACTCAATGAAACAACAATTTACAAATATTTTCGTTAATTTTTCCATCGGTAAAAAATTTTCATAACGTACGTAAAATATTAATATTTGCTTAATACAATACAATATTTATTAAAAATTATACTTTACATACAATGTTTCAAAGAATTTGCTTTTTTTTTTAATTTACAGAGCATAAAACACACAGCAAAATAAAGATTACTACGCCAAGCAAAGAGCAAGAAAGCAGGATGAGAAGTATTTCTTACTCTAATGGAGCAAGACACAGCCAGGCCAGGCTAATAGTGAAGGCACAGGGAAAGAAAGCAGGAAATAAATCATTTTTTGCCTCTCTTATATCCAATTCTATCAATATGTAAGAATAAAAATCTGTACAATAATAATTTGGTTTCTAGATTGTTAAATTGGTAATTTAAATTAACTACAAAGATCAAAAATCATCAAAAATTATTATTTAGAATGTTATTTAGAAAATATAAGCAGTAATTCATAATAGAATTTGTTCCAAAAATTAATTGTTATTAATGAAGCCATATAAATATATTTTTAATATATAACAGATTTTATGTAATAAGAAAATAATTTAAACCTGTTGATATCTGTATATATGCATATTTGTGTACTTGATAAATTCATATGGACTTAAATTCTATCAGATTCACATTGATAATCACTGTAATTTCAAGCTAGAAAAATAATTACATTTAGTTTATATAATATGGTCCCAAAATTCCGAAATCTATTAGTTTTTTTCATTAATTTAAAATATGATCTGTATAAAATGTTAACCATAAAATACAATTAAAACTATTATAATTTCACAGGAAAACTAATCTGAAACTTAGTCATCATATATTTAATTTATTTATATCATAAAAGTAACAATACCATTACAAATCAATATAAATAAATAAATCTACATATATCTCAAACAATAATAATATAAAACTGCTGCTAGAAAAAAAAATTTTGAACCAAACAGCAAATATAAGAATATGTGATAAATTTCCTTTCATCCACAATGAACTTGTAATCAAAATTTTATTACAGTTATTTGTTATTTATTAAAAAAAATCCAAATATAGAGTTTATGAATTATATACTTACAAATACAAATGTTATAAATTTCATATTTAACTATATATACATATAATTTTTCTTTTCAAATTGTTTCTTGCGGCATAATTAATGAAACTGTAATTTTATAATTTGAAACTACTAAATTAACTTACTGGTACGTTCTTTTATTTAAATCAAAGATGTTTTCAATACTTTTATTTCATCATCACTTCCAATACATAAAAATTTTAGAATGCTTTTTGTGAGTTAAAGTGTTTAATAAAGAAATTTAATATTTTAATATAAAATAAACATATGAATATAAAATGTAATCTTAAACAAAAATAAAACAACATGCATTTAAGGTTAATGCTTCTTAAACTTTGGTGGTCAGACATTCATCAACTAATGACCAGAGTCACCAAACTATTTAATTTCTTCCTCATTTCAGAAAATTATTTTTTCACAAAAACTAAATGAGTAATTTTTAATATTTTCATTATAGAGTGGTACCTAATACTTCAAATAACTAACTTCCAACATTCCAGAGTTTGAATGTTGCTTTTATGTTCAAACTCGGTGAAAAAAATGCACTTGCTGAGTAAATGCCATCTCTTGCTCTTGCTGTGAAAGCATCTCTTATATTATGCTCGTGTGTTTTCAGCACTTTTTTTAACTCTATTTTTGATATGTTTGATTATATATATATATATAACCAATACCCATTAACCATGGCATTCAAGAAGTGTGGAAGCAATGAAGCCTAAGAAGGTTGTAGTATTGACAACTGAGGTAAAAAAGGAACTTACTGCAAAGCATGAAAGCTGTACATGTGTGAACAATTAGGTGGGCATGTTTAGGATGCCAAATTCAACAGTGTACACCATTCTTAAAAACATGGAAGCAATAAAGCCAAGCAGCTGCATAGTGATGTTAAAAAATGGGACATTATCACTCCTCACTTAAGGTACAGTAAATGCAATTTTCCTTTTATTACACAGTATTTACTGTATTTTACGGACTATAAAATGCACCTTAATTTTTAAGCATTTTTTTAAAAAAAATAACATTTTTACCGTTTTTACCACCTAAATTCAATCCTTTTATACGGATTGAAGCAAACGCTGATCCACCAATCAACACTTAGTAGCGCTATCGGACGTCCACTGATCGTATGATGGTCGCACGATGATTGCTGGCCAATCCGCGGTCGTGGATTCGGAACCACCGGCCGTCTTGTGATCTGAGTTTCTATGGCGACAACTGTTGCTCGTTTGAAAAGAGAAAAAGTGCAGGAATTGTATGTCCAGATAATTCTATCCTGACACCCCGCAACTCGTGTTCGTTGCATCGGTGTAATACTGCTGGCAGTTGAATTCAATGTTGCCAGATAGAGATGGGTTTCCCACGGCATCAAAGATATGGCCATTTTTAAGATGCGGGAATTTTAAATCAAACACGGGACATTTTTATATTAATTTCGAGTATAAGACACACCTGAATTTTGGAGGCAATTTTTCGAAGAAAAAAGTGCGTCTTATAGTCCATAAAATACGGTACATATTTTATTGTTTTCACATTTTAATTTATTATTTAGGGCATTTAATTATGTTATTTTTTACCTTAAGTGTATTTACTATTTAAGTTTATCAAAGTGGGTATTGTTTAGGGACTAGGATTAGATTAATTCACTTTCCAATTAGTTGTAATGGGAAAAACCGATTCAGACTTCAAATAATTCAGAAATCAAATGACCTTCTGAAACAAATTAAATTCAAAATATGAGGCATCACTGTACTAGGTAATTCTAAAACAATTTTACTTGCAAATTAATTTTGTTTTTATTAATTTGCATACTGCTCCTCTTTCATTTTGCTATTAATGCAAATTGGATTTAAAATGCACTTTTGTTAATTTTTAAATAAAATTTTGTTCTATTTGAAATTCCTACTATAAATTTCTTTAAAAAATTTAGCCAGTCTAGAAAACTTTATAGTATTAGCAAGTTGCCGATATAGCATAATATAAAAGATTGTTTTGAAAACTCCAACTTTAAATTTTCCATTGTTATTAAATTAACTTTTTTGATTTAATTAATTTATTTTGATAAAAGTTAATTACATAAATTAATAAAACTCTATTTACATACTTTTTTTCAATATCCAAATTTAACAAATTTAGACACTATAATTTTAAAGCAATATTTCTAATAAAAAATAAGAAAATGTTTGTTCTAATTACATTTTAACTATTTAAACATATTAAATGTAATCCCAAATAAGCCAGTGAGCATTAAACAATTTATGAACATAGCTACACAGTATGCAAACAGTATGTGTGTTCAAGCACTAGTGTAAAGGTCTAATGTTCAAACTTACACTTATGACTTGGTGTTTTGCAACAAATGTGCAAAGGCTCTCTTGCTCTGCAATAGCTTTCCCTAATTGGTTCATAAATACTATTTGTGTTATTTAAAATAAAAGAAATGAGTTTTTGATGGTAAAGTGAAATCTTTTTAATGTCAGTTTCAGCACTATTTAACAATTTTAAAGCAAAATTTAAATGCAAAATGTTTACACAGACATCAGTCTTAATCTTTATATTTTTATGTATAAAATTTATTAATTTATGCTACAGGAAAAAAAAAACTCTGAAACTAACAAGGCGTATTACACCTATGTCTCCACCAATTTTGGTGAATTTTGACACAAAGATAGTGTTTGAAATGATAATGTAATTCTCCAAACATTTCATTTAATGGGCCATAACGAGCAAGTTATTGAGGTTCAAAAAAAGGTATCCATCCACATAGTCTGATGCTATTGGCTAGTTTGTATAGGCTCCTCTCTATCACAGACAACCTTTTTGCTATATAAGTTTCATGACTTTAAATTTTTTTTATTCTTTTGAGTGACGAATATTTACAAATAAATATGTCTGATACATTTTCCTGCTCAATAGTTTATTAAGAAGCCTGTTTTGATGACAATACTTTTGAATAGGATTAGTAATTTGTGTATTTATTCAAGCAAAACCATGAACTCTTGAAATTCTCGTATTTATATTTCAAATAAACAGTGCTCAGGACCTGATTTTGGTCCCCTTACATTGTGAGCTCTGAAGCATCGCTTAACTGTGCTTGATATTAGCTATGTTACTGATTACAAGTAAATAATCAAAAAAATATCTTAGTTTATTTATTTCAACTCTCAATTCTCCTAATTATTTTTCTGTAAAAACATTAAATAAAAAATTAATTATTTTTAAAAGGAAGAATATATAATTTTTGGAACAATTTCATGAATAAAAAGTTGATAATGTTTAATTTTTAAGTAATTTTGATGAAATCATATTATTAATTGATAAATATTTTTTATTTTTATTTCATTTGTAAAATTCTTTTAATTAATATAATTTTGTTTTACTTCCAAATCATCAAAATTTTTTTCCAGAAGATTAGTAACTTTTTAAATAATTATTAAATAAAACATAAATCTTGAAATTTTATATACATATGAAATTACAAAAACAATAATTTCAAAATTATTTTCACAAAACAGTTAATCATTGTAAAATTAAATTAAATGTAAAAATTCAACACAACAATTTTAAAAATAATCAAACCTCAAACTTCTGGAACGAGGACGAATCATTGGAGATCGTCTTCCTTCATCTTCAAGACCAGGGTTGCTTTCATTACTACTAAAATGTCTAGTATGTTTTGCATCGTCTGGAGTTGATTGATTTGGAAATAAGTGTAATTTCTCTTGAGATGAACACTGTGACTATAATAAAGATTAATATATAAACAAAGTAAATAAACTTTCAATTCAAATTCTTGTATTCTTCAAAACATACAGAAACATTTGAACTTCCTGGCGTGTTTGTTCCATATCCTGATGATGGGAGAGATGCCACGGACCATCTTCTTCCATCAGCCCTACAACACAAATTATATTGTAAATTAAATTGCCTAATTTAAAAAGTAGTAAATACACTAATAACAGTAATTTGAATTCAATACAATCAACACAAAAAACAGGAACAAAAGTAATTATAGTNCAGACCCTAAACAGTCATTTCAATAAACTTAAACAGCAAATACACATAATTTAAGATAAAAAAATAACACAATTAAATACCCTAATAATAAACTAAAACATGAAAATAATAAATGTAATACATAAATAATGTATAATAAAATGAAAATTGCATTTACAGATCACACACCATCAACTTCAGCATCTTAAACATTGCTACCAGATCCACAACACATGTACCATTTTCACGCCTCAGCCTATTGTGAAGTTCCTTTCATCTCAATTGTCAATATTACAACCTTCCTATTAGACTTCATTCCTTCCACAATCTTCTCAGATGCCATGATTAAAAAGTAAACGCTATTGGGTTCAACAGACAGATTTTGCTTATTTTTAACTGTTGTAAAGTTTAACATATTATTGCTAATGTGATTGTATTCTTTGTTTAGAAATTTATTTAAAAATTTTTACTTCACATTTTGTTTCAATAAAATCAAGTTGAAATATATTCTTATAAAAAAAAGCAACCCATCAGGCATATTCTTCTTAATGAGTTTTGGAAAGGATATTTAATAATGTCATACAAATGGTAAATAAAAATTTGCAATGTGTTTGGAAAAGATGTTCCTAAACATTGAACATGTCAAATGTTTAAAAAGTCCCATTCAGGAAATTTTAAACTAAGAGACACAAAACATACAGGATACCCAAAAACTGTGAATGAAGAAATTGCTAAGAATTCACAGATAAAACAGAATGTATATAACAAACATGTCAAAAATAAAACAAAAAGTACTGAAAATATAAGAGTGTAATGTAAGAGTGAGAGAGAATTTGGAATCACAACAGATCGCATTTATGCTTCAAGCACATTTTTTCACTGTTTGCACAATTCAAACTTTGAAGCATCACTTGAACTCCAAAGCAAATTTTTGTCAGATTCAGCATTCAAACTCTGAAGCATTCCAAGCATGAGGTGAGGTACCACTATACTTAAAAAATATATTTCTTATTTTATTCACAGTGTTTTTGCCTTTCCTTTGCACTTTGCTTGCCTTAGGCAGCAATTTTTGGCATGTTGGCTCTGACATTTAGCTATTGTAGTACAGACTTCTCTTATTACAGGCTTGTTTGAAATTAATTCTTTTAAGATTGGTCACACTTCCAAAGTTGTAAAATATAGATATCTTCTAGTAAACATTTCACAAAGGTCAGCAGCAGGTGAATTATTATATCTTTTTCTTTAATCAGTCAAGAAATTCTACATAAACATGGGCATTGAGTTAGAGCTGGAAGATGCAGAAATATTTTCAAAGAACTACATGTGGCTCCATAGCCATAGATTATCGTCCATTTTATATGAAAAAGTTTATAACATTTAAAAGTTCATGTTTGTATGAAGTATTTCACTTCATAATAAATTAATAAACTAACATTCATCAGAGTTTATTCAAAATATCTTAAATCTCAATACTTTCAAAAATCACTATCTAATATCAATAGCTCTTGATTTAGCCATTTATGTTAAAATTATCAATGTTCCTCTTATGGTCTTATTCTGTCATGAGCAACCAACAGCCCCTGGCCATATGCAGCACTCAAGGTCCTAATATGCAGCCTATGGCATCTTGACAACAATTTTATTTTCCTGTTTTCTCCCGCATCATTATGCAACCCTATTAAGCTGATATTCATGATGAAGAACATTCAAGCTAAATTGGATTAGCAAAAAGATGAAAGGGAGAGAGAGTGTAAAAGTGGTGTAAGTAACAAAAATTTTTTTAATTAAAAATACAAAAAAGTATTACTGTAATTTAAAAATAAAATGATAATAAATGTCAGTAATTGACAAAGGAACATATCCATTTATTTATTTAATTTTATANTATATGAAATTTTAAGGCTGTGATTAAGAATCAAATATTTTATTGGAGATTTTGAACAAAATTCATTTGATAATTTTTAAAAGCAAACATAGAAAAAAAATGTTAAATTTTATCATTAATATATTCGGGTTATACTTATGAGTTTTCCCACTCTGAGTAAGGTAACAGGGATTTGCATGGATGCAATGAAGATATGTCACACTTTGAATGCTTATAGCTTAAAAACTATTAATAGTAGTGTAATACATAATACATCATTAGACAGCTTATAAAGTCCCATTTATATCAAAACCCTCCACTTTTAACCCATCACAATAATTGTGTTAGAAAGTTAAACTAAATTTCATATGATTTTGTTTTGTTGCAGACAATTTTAAGGTTTAAAACTAGTGAATAAATGATAATAGCAATTATGTCAGCCCTACATTCTTTATCTTTGCTCATCACTGCTAAAACTTAATTTATATCTAAAATTCTTGATTTTTTTCCATTTTTTAACTAGTCTAGAATTTCTGCTGTTTATTTCATTTCTGACTTTTTAATTTATTCATCTTTCTGTCTAATTATACTGATGAAATATTGGGCATCTATTTTTTTCCAATTTTGATTAGTTAATAGTCTTTTTATATTGGTTATTATTTAATAATAAGGAATGTAAATACTACTACATAGCACGTACTGATGGGTATAATTGTATCCCAATTTTCTGAACTACAATTAAATTATCTTTTAATGTAATAATTAGAAGTTTATTTCTAATGGTAATGAATATAAATTTTTTATTAAATTATATCATTAGCTAAAATTTAATGTTTTTTTCTTCTTTATAATTTTTGAATAAATTAAATATATTTCATTTCTTATGTATATGTAAAACAAACCAACATTTTCTATCTAAATTATTCAGTTATAAGCAAAATGTCATTTTCCTATTTCTCTTTGAAGACACTTTTGTTAATATAATAATACAGAACTTTTAATTATAAGAAAAATTTATTTATTCTCTTTCCAGCCATATTTAGCAATAATATATAGTAGTATGGAAAGCTAACAATAAGTTGTAATAAGTAGTTGACAGTTCAGTGACAATTCTTTTTAGGAGATATAACCAAAAAACCAACTCCACTGTACTTAATTCTACAGAAAAAATTTTGCAACTATTGTTTCAACTAACATAGAAATTAATATATAGATTAAAGTATCATACAGAATAATTACATTTAATTTTTGTAAAGATAAATCATGAAAAAATTTATTACACCAATACATTATAACACCGTAAACAATATTAATACATTGATATCGTTTTCCAAAAAACATAAAACTCAATGATCAAATTAAACAAAATATATATTTGCTATATTATACATAAAACATTATTAATAAATTTAAATTATTTTATACATAGCTTATATATTCTGTTACTGCATGTATTTTTTTAAAATTTGTTCAAAAATGTCTAAAACTTTTAATGTTTATTGTAAATATTGAGAGCTAATTTAAAGTTTATTTTTTAAAAATCTTACTTTTCTTGCATCAATTTTTTCATTTATAACAATTTATATGCAATAAATAATCTTAAATTTAAGATGAAAAGATAAAAAATTCTCACTATTTACAAAATACAAATTTGTAGACATGTAAACAATACATTATGTAGAGGAGTAACTATTTATATAATGAATATGGAACTTCAGCAGTGAATATGAAGCTTCTAGAAGCTTCATATTCACTGCTGAAGTTCCACAAAACTGCTATGAATATAGAAAGTAAAAGTGCGCTTGAAAAAATAAGATTAGGAATCAAATATATGAGTAGAAAATAAAAAAATGCTTTTAACCAAGAAATTTTACCACCACATTTCTAATTTCTTTTTTCTTAATGTATCTTATGGGAGATTAATGTATTGTAAAAATAAAAGCATAAGTTGCTACCAAATTTCAATTCTGTAAACAATCTAGCATTTTAATTTTGTCTTCAAGGAACATCACTATCTTTGGCCTTTTGATATTTTGCCACTAGAGTTATTATATTCATATGGCATTGTTTATTTGTAAAAATAAGAAAAACTAATTAAACTTCTTTTATTATAAAACGTTGATACCAATAATACATAGAATTATAAAAAAAAAAATGTTTCCTGTTTGTATAAGCGCGTATGCTAAGATAATGTGAGAAATTTTGATAAAGTATCTACTGGTTCAGTTCAATGATCTATGACATGTATTACAGTAAAATATGTTTAAGATAAAAGCAGTGAAATTATTTGTTTTGTTATTTTTGTTTCTTCTATAAGCAAATTTTATCTTTGTGAATATTAAAAATGGTTGCAAGTACCAAAATCATAAATTTGCAAAAATAAATGTGTAAATATGGAACTTCTACTCCATACGACTTCATATTTAGCCAAAAACTATACCATCATTTGTATGGTTTTAAAGAAAGAAATAAGCATACAAATTAACTTACACAATTGAAAATCACTATTTAACCAAAACATTGGTTTAAGTACTTTAATTAAACTTACTTTATCAAAAATGTTTATAAAATTTATTTAAATTACGATACTAAGATTTAATGATTATAATGTAGTATCCTAATAACATGATATTTGATCACATATTTACCTTTTTACTGATGCAAAAGCAAAGTGCTGACTTGGAGACATGTTACGTGGACTTTCTAAAGGACTCCCTATGCATTAAAAATGATAAATTTTATTATTTTAAATTATTATTTTTTCCTTCTATAGATATTACTTTATTTCATAACAATTTATTTGCAATTTTAAACTCTATTACTAAAGTAAATAATTCAGATTATTTGTAAAACAAAATCTAAAAATGAAACATGATTTCATATACTATTAGTCCTTAACTTTTGATTACCTACATTAAGTTCTATAACACAAATTCCCATCATGTGTCTGATACTGATTTTATTTTATCAAAAACTAATGTAATTTAAAGCAATGTGTCATTGTGACTTTATGAATGCTGTAAATGTCATAGAATTTTTTCCTCTTAGTAGTTTCCAATACTAAAAAACATCCTTGGTTTTTTCACTGTGCATGGTTTGAAAAATTTGGTACTCTGGTGCTCAAATACTACCAGAAAATTTTAATTTGATATCAAAGAATAACATGTGGTAGCCAACAAACTACTACAAGTATCGGTCCAAAACTCCCTTCTCCCCAATTAGTCCATTAAGACGAGGGTCTACCGTATCAATACATTTGGGTATTTTGCACTTTGACTATTTTCAATGTATTTTTTTTCCCTTCTTTTATTAATGAAACAAAGTATAATTTAGTAAACTCTCTGAAACTCAAGAAGTCGACAAATTTTTTAACTTAAAAACTTAAAATTACTTTTACAATTAATATTAAATTCCATTATCAGTTGAAGATGAAATAAATCTTGTTTAAATTTTGAAGTAAAGAGTCATTTTGATAGCATAATTTATATTCTGTTAGTTAAAAACAATTTAGGATAAAATAAGTAATAAAATAAATTTTTATTAAGAATAAGGACCAGTCTCTCTTATTATGTTATTTTTTTCTCTAATACATTATAAACTCCAATAATCTTTATAGATATAATTATGAACATTTTAATAATACTATTTTTCAATAAATACACAGAAGTAATGTATAATGCATGTAATAAATACATTTTATTTATTTATTACATACTTTATACATTACATAGAATATGACTAATTTAAAAACATGTGTGTTTAATATAAATTTTAAAATTCTTTTTAAAAATTCTGAGAGATTATTGTCCATACTAAGTTTGATCTTTGTCTTCTTATTATTATATAATAGCAAACTTTATTGTTAAAGAAATAGATTCTGAATTCATTCATTCAATCGAAAATTTAACTTACCTTGTGATATTGGAGAATGACTACGAGGGAGAGTTGGTGAGGTATTGCTAATAAGTGTCATTCTGTGTCCACAACGACTGAAAGTATAGAATTAGTACTTTTTACATATAAAATAAATTAAAACATTATTTTAGAAAACAAACTAATTTACATTACCTTCCTCTTCTAGAAATGCTAAGTTCTTTCTGTTAAGTAATAAAAAGATTATAACTACTTAAAAATATTTCGTTCATTAAAGAAATTTCTTTATAAAAATAAGAATCACAATCAAATTTCAAACTGAAAAACTCAGTAGTTATACAGGATGGTCATGATTTACATATGTATTGTATATTGTATTCTTAGAATTCATACAAAAACAAGAATTATGCAAATTAAGATTAATTATTCTGTAGAAATAATTTGTTTGGAACATACGTTCTCTGATATACAATTCCTATAGGAAGAAATATCTATCCAATTCGGTGAGGGGGAAAATGTAAATTATTTACTTTATTTTATTATAAACTGTATAACAATTTTTGCCATTTATAATTATGTTGTTGATATTCTTGAACCTTGTAACATTGTATTAAAAATATAATTTGTTTTGTTTGACATTAATCCTGCCTTGTAAATGGACTGATGCCTAATACAATAAAGACTGCTTGATTGATTGATTAATTAATTAATTTGCTACTCTAAACATTACTAACTTTAATTTTATCAGAAAATGTAAATTAATTGTCTACTTAAGATAATCAAAATTAAAACGATTAAAATAAACTTTCTATGAAAATGTTAAGGAGACATGAATAAAAATTCTTTTTTAACAGTACAACTTTTAATATATTACATTAATATTTACTAAAATATTCTTTGGTAGACTTTCTAAAAATGACTTTTAGTTAATTTTGTGAGTAAATAAATAACAATGTATAATTTTAAAATATTGATACATAAATGAGATATTAAAGACTGGTTTTGTATAAATTTTATTTTGTTGGAATTTTTTTTCACTTTTAATAGCAGCAGTTGTAGAATTTTTCCAATAGAAAAAGGTAAAAAAGAATAAGCAATAGTGTTGAAAATTATATTGTCTATCACATTTTAAACTTTAAAATAATTTGCTTCAATTAAGGTTTTTTTTTTTTTTTATATAAATTGGAACTAAAAATAAAAGGTGATTGAAGATTTCTGACAAAAGTGAAAATGAATCAAGATGGCATGAACTGATTATATTTATTTTCATATATACTATTAAATAAAATTTTAAATCATCAATTATTTGGAGATTATTTTTCTTACCTTTAATTGCATCATAGAAGAGAGATTTAGAGGAAGAGAAAGTGTTAAACTACGTTTACGGAGACCGCTTTCACTAGCGCTTCTCCGTATAGCACCACCAACATACTGATTTCTAGCCTCAGTCACTTCTGTTATTCGATCTTGTGCCTCCATTGCCTCTATTTCTGAGGACTCCTCTTTATCTGACAGAATCATGATCACTTATTCTATTAGCCATTTAATCTTCAAGTTTTCCTGAAGCTTAAATAATTGCTGCACAAGAAGGAATAAGATGACACAAAGAACTTGTTTTTGCATAAAATTTATGCTTCATATTGCAAGTATTATAATTTTCAATAAAATAAATGATATCATTTTCTTTTTGAAATATCTAAATTAAAATCTAATAATTCAAATATCTAAAAAAAAAAAAAAATATAATTTGAAAATTTGTAAATAGGACAAGATTCAATATCTTTTTGTTAATGTTAACTTAAATTAATACTTAACATTATATATATATTATGTATATATAAATGCCTATTGAAGAATCTTTCATAAAATTATAAAATATTGAGGTAAATATCTTTACTTTATTTTGAAATCTATAAATATTTATAAAATATAGTAAAACCTATCTAAAGTGAAATACATTTTGCCAAAATTCATAGCGTGTTATGATTTTATTACCGATGCTTACGGATACAAAACCTTTACCAATATGTTGGTGTATTAGAATGTTTCCGATATTGGAATCTAGTTGTTTCAATCTCCTGTTTATTTGTTTTTCCGATAGTCACTATTGAAAAATGAAAGAAATATTGGTTTGTAAAACTTACTGATACCAATATATCGGTATAGTTATGATTTTTAGATTATTGAAAAAAGATCAAACATCAGTTTGTAAAACATTCCAATACACTGACATATTAGTATCAGTTCAGTATTAGTTACATCTCTAATTTTTTACCAATGAAGAAAAAGAAAAAAGTTAAAACATTAAAACTATCATTTAGAAATTGCTCTTCCACTAACATGAGTATTCAACTATGATGTACCACTCGCTAATCAGCACTAAATTTATTAACTATTGTCAAATTAGACTAACACAGAACTCTTCAGCATTTAAAAACTACTCTTATAATATATGTAAGGATAGTTGCTCTAAAATTTTAATTTTTTGTCATTTCTCATTTGAATAATATAGTACTGAATTTTGGCTAAATGGAGAGAGCAGAAGTATTTCATCCTAAAACATTTCATTGTAATTATTTGATAACTTTTATTCATGAAAAATGGGAATTCACTGAATTAATTTTGTAACTACTTATTTACAACATGTGACTTTACCCAATTAAATATCCATTACTTCAGGAATCAAGTTAAATTTCCTACAGAATTGGGAAAACCAGCAATTCTGCATTGTCATTAGAAAGTAGTTTTAAAAACAGAATACAAAAAATTAATCAGTGATTTTTAGATTTTAAAATGTCATGTATTCAAAACAGAAAAACATTTTAACAAACAATATTGTCTTATTTTATAAAACACAAAAACAAGACAATACTACATTAGATACAAATTAAGAACAAATATGGTTACAAAAGACACATATTCCAACTTTAAAAGTCAAACTGAAGAAACTAATAATGCTACTTTGCATCTGTATATGATATAATATAAAGTTATAACTATATATTTCATGCTACATTAATGAAAACTTATGGGTTCCAAGAGAAAAATATAAGTTTCTAGTCTTGCTAATTGATAATCAAAATAAACACTTTCAATTAACTCAGTTATAAACATGGCTAATAACTTTCAGCAGCTTAAGGTGAGGCTTATATATTTTTTTTTGCAAAAGTACAGGATATAGCAGGATCCAAGAAACAGAAAACCTGAAATATCTTAAAATATATTTTTCCGAAAACTGTAAAACATAACTTTTACTTTATATATAGATATAAAACGTTATATAATGATAAATTAGTTTTTATGTGATTGATAATTTTTTCTACTCTGTTCATCATCATCTAATACTGTTGATATAAAGAAAAATTTTGCTTTAGATGAAAGCAATTTTTTCTTTTATATATATTTTATAACAAATTTATTTGAACATAAAAAAAAATTCAAATTTGGAAGTTGAATTAGTAACATACAGTGAGATTTGAGAATCAAGCATGATTCCTGCCCACGTCATTGCCTTCTCTCTCCAATACTGACTCTATTACATTGGATGATTTCAGGTTCCAACTTCTCTCCAGATATATAGTACCAGATCAATTATTTGGCAAGCTTGAGAATGGAAGTGGCCCGAATTTTCCAGTTTTCTGGGCACTGGCTAACCATATACTTAAAATATAAAATAAACAACAGAAGGTTAAGAACAAAATTGTATTTAGCAGATACAAATTAATACACTTCTAAAGCAAAATCTGTTTGATTATTAATCCTCTTAAAATATAGAATACCATATACAGTGTAATATTTAAGATGAAAATTAAACAAAGAAAAGAACGTAATGAAACTAATGTTGTGCAACACGTATGCAACAGAAACCAAAACAAATTGACCTTGCAGCAAACTACAGTGTGTTACAGTTATCAAATTCAAAACTAGCCAGTTTTCTGGTAATTCTAGATTTCTGGAAACCATATAATTGGCCCATTACTGAATTGGCACTGACTTGTGAGAATCACATGTTAACTAAAAGCTTGACTTATCTGTAATGAATGTATTCTCTACTGATTGGGTATCCAATTGCAATGCTTCCTACTCTATTCTAATTGAATTCCTAAGAGCATAAATAGGTGTGATACAAATTACAGGTTTCCTGACATACAGTGCACTCTACACATGCAAAGTTCAATTTCAATATAGATACTCTGTTGCTAAGAATTGTGAGCTGTTATGCTTTACAGTTAGGACTACAAACTAGTTATCTTCAGTAGTTGTATATCACAATTAACCTTTGGATATTCATAAAGTGCAAGTGATTTTCATCAATTCTTGCAATTATCATCATAGCCTACAAATGACACTTTTAGACATATTCATAAATTTAGAGATCTCTACATGACTGACAGCTTCCATCTCTGATTGTATTCACAGTGTCATGAAGATATTTGGAGCAAAAATGTTTAGCTATAGAATTTTCAATTTCACTTAATAATGAATTAATGATGATTTGGATGGATAAAAATCCTACCAATAGACCCTGCGGACTGACAATGATAATACAGGCTAGTTTTTCTCATTTTCAATTCTGCTTGATTAAAAAAAGTTATGATTAATCACAATGCTTTATTAACATAGAACACATTGACCATATTAATTATATTAATAATTTTATGTCATCTGGATTAATCAAAGCATATTATTGGAAAAGAACATTCTCGGATACTATCTCAAGTATGGAAACTCAATATTTTGTAGTTCGCAAACTCCTAGAAGACTTTCACTGTTTATGAAAGGTCGCTTTTTACCAGCAGTAATTTGCATTTCTATCAAAACAGATGACCAAAAGATACGTGACATGCATTCACAACAATCCACCATCTTGAAAAACATAAATAGCATACTCTCTCTCTCTCTCTCTCTCATTTTTTCAATTTCACTAAATTAGAAGGATTATTTTAGTAATTCAATTTCCAGTTACCAATAATACATAATTTTTCTAAATTAAAATAAATAAACTTCATGAATTTATTTATACACTCCACGAATTGCAGATTAAAATTTTCTGTATCTACCTTACATTCTTAAATGAATGTAATTTAAGTCTAGTTATAGAAAAACATTTTTCTATTGATATTAGCAAGTCTATTAAAATATGGAGACAACTTTTTTCCTTGATACTTTTACTGTGGTTATTTTTTTTATTAGGGGATTGTAACCACTTGCCTTTTTGGCATTACTAATGTACAGTATGTGTTAATAAATAAATATATATAATGTATTTTTCTCCAAAAGATTTTTTTTAAAATTGTTATTGTAACTTGTTACATTATTTTGATGAACTTCATATATATTGTTTTTATTGTGTTATTGTATACTTAATTCAACAGATATTAAAAATAGATACATTTAAATTATTTTTGTTTGAGAAATAAATAATTATAATAGTTTCTTAAATATAAAAAAACAAATCTATGATTAAGAGTAACGATTATTAGTTATTTTAACCCTCTTGTGATGTATTTATGAATGAAAGGAGCGCATGAAAAAATATATTAAATAAATAGCTGTAGTACAAGTATACGGCATTACGTATTTGAATTTTTAACATAATTAAATTTTTCAAACAAATTTTAAAACATGGATTAGAAATAAAAAGAATTACTAAAATTTAAATGTCTTTATAAATAAGATATGTGTTTATTTAATAATTAAATAAATGTATAAATAAATAGAAGTTGTATTAATGATATGAAATAGTAGCAATAGATATAAAAAAGTATATAAACCATAGAAGTTTTTTTACCTTCTAATACATAAAAAATAAGATTATAATAAAATAATTTACTCCTAAAACTAAATATTAGAATTAAATATAATCATTTTTAATATATAAATAAACTTGATTTAAACTGATAAAAATGTAACTATAAGAATAACAATATACTCTATTTAATTAATTACTTGTAAGAGACGAATAAAAAACTGAATTTAAAAAAGTATGTAAGGTTCACAATGTTTGAAATAGTGTGCATGCACAATTAGACATTTAAATTTTTAAAATTTAATTAAAATTATCTTACATTTTTCCGAGTATCTGGAATATGGACGTTTTCAGAAATGGTTACTATGTACTGTATACATAACACGTGAAACGTCAATCACTGAATAAACAAAAATCACAATGACGAACGACTGTAAATACAGCTTTCCAGTCTGACTGCCTTGATGTGCAAGGAAGCTACTTTTATGACTTCCGATTTGATCGATTCTTGCATTATTCCGACCACACAGTATACGACTTTCTCCTTCTGGGCGTGTTCTACTCGTAAAAACACTCAACAAGTAATGCAGACGTTGCTACAACTGTTCATTTCGTATTTAACAAAAATAAGTTCTTTTCTAAGAAAATCCCAAAATGAATTCATCGTTATTTCACGTTCGTCGCTCTCTTTCTCCGTACGTAATTATAAAAAAAAAACAGTACTTGGAATTTTTAGAAGAAAGCACTATCGGGCTCGGGACACTTCTCCAACCAACAGATATATATATATATATTAAATAAAATGTCCAGGAGGAAATACGTTTTTTTTTTTTTTTTTTTCGAGAATCCACAAGTGATCGATGAAATTTGAAGAATTTTAATTAAAACAGAATCAGTGGGCAATACAGCAATGACTCACCTTTGTATATTTCACGCCCGATTATCCGAAGAAAGCACCAGAGGACGGACATTGAGACGTCTGTGTTCGGTCGATGAAACTGCATGCACCTGCACTAGCGTCACTCTCGTAACAGTCTATCCCTCTCTTAATAGTTTGCTCCTCCTAGCGGACATTCGAAATAGAAGAGGAGGAAGAAGAGGAGGAGGGGGAGGAGGAGGAGGGATAAACCTTTTAAAACGTTCGAATTATTTTAAATGGTAACCTCCTCGATTGGCCGCAGATATTACATTATTGATATATTCTATATCATTTTTTTAAATCTACGTCTCGTTCCAAACGGCTATAGAATAATATCTTTGGCAAACGGGACTATTGAATCCGTTACTCTTGGCAACCGGCCAAACTCCCGCAGGCTTGTGACGTCACTGCAGAAACAATGTTCATCACGCTTTTTTATTCAAAGTCCCGAAGGATTAGAAAACTTTAACTGTACGATTATAATTTCCTCTAATATTTACAATATAAAAATATATATCGTATAAACACGATATTTTTTTAAAATGTTTCTTTAATCGCTCAACCTTCACAAAAATGACGATAAATATACGTACTTAAAAACAATTATTTGTGAATTTACTAAAGGTTATAGTTACGGTGGGAAGGGGGAAGAATTAAAAAGAAAATGACCCCATTTATATATATAAAGTTTAAATTTATGATCGAGATATAAAAATAAACGATGCAATATGAATGGATAAAACGGAGACGAAAATTTGATCGTAAAATCATAATGCTATTACTAAACATCCATTAAGGTAAGACGTTAGATTATTCAGTATGTTGGCAGTGAGAATAATGAAGATAAAGAACATAAAAGAGAACTCACCATACTAGTGGATAATGCTGGAGCTGATTGGCCCAACAGGGAATTTCTCATTTTTACTAAATTTGAAGTTTCCGATGATACTAGAAGTACAGCAATTAACTCAATACTTAAAATTTAAAAGTTTATGACTTTAACTTTCGAAGGATGAATAATTTACCTTGTCCACTGACGGACAGTAAATGACTGGCTGGATAAAATGCTGCAAAACTTTCTCTTCTTCTTCTTATATCTTCGGTTCCTTGTCTACTAATGGCTCTACTCTTCCTCTGAAAATAAGATTGATCGGTATCGTTCCTACGGTGAGATGGAGATGACGGGGCATGATCTACCTAATAAATTATTTTCCCATTTAATACACGTTTTTCAATTTAATAACTACCAGAATATTAGAGATATTTTAATTCGAAAATCTAAATAAATTTTTGAATAATGCATAATTATTATTATTATTTAATACTAATTACATTAGTCATTAGTAAACCATAATAGATATTAGTGGTACATATATATTATGGGGGGAAAAATATGATTAATTATAAATTTGATTCATTAAAACTTGATATTTATTTCATACAATTTTAACTACTAGTAGATCAACCTATTTTNGTTAAATCATCAAAATCTGGGTAACATTTATAAAAATTTAGCCAAGATTCCAAAATGTCATTAACATCTATAAATACTTTTAAAGAGGAAAAAAAACTCAGTAACTATTTAAAAAAAAAAAACTTTTCAATTATATCTGTAAACATCGGTGACTGAATTACAGACTGAATTACTGAGATTAGATATTATTGGGAAGTACAGTACATTATACAAAAGTTATTTTAAAAAAAAGAAGAAGAGAAAAGAAAGAGAGATTAGCAAAATTTAAGATTAATTGATTTGTCAAATATAGGAAAAATCGATACATCGAAGGCAAAGAACAACATACAGACTAGAATAAGCTGTGATAAAGTGAGGACGAACCCGTGTTCCTTATTGAACTAAGCCCATACCTTATGGTGTGACCAAAGATCAGAGATAGAAAAAATCATTAATATATGGCGAAGATTCAAACTGAATGACTTAATTTTTATTTATTTCAAAATAGATACTGTAGATAATTTCGATGCACTTACGATTTTTATGAAAATAAACGAATCATTCACACCCTATTGTTTATTTTTTTTTTTATAAATTAAAAATTATTTTTCAATATAAAATCAAATCAAAAATTTATCGAGAAAATTTCAAACTATTATTTATCCATTTTCACGATTAGTAAATTATAAAAATAAAACTTTAACGCTTTTTAATCCTTACCTCGTCTATATTGTACCTTTATATAAAATTTCGCGTCTTTTTAAAGCATTTTCTATTTAGCGAAAGTAAAAAAAAAAAAAATGATTTAAATACATTGAAAGAATGCCGTGGTAAGAACAATTTCGCAAGAAAATTTCGGTAATACAAGCTTAATTGTATATGACAACGTTATAAACAGCATCACAGGTGTAAAAATCATTTAAAAATTCGCCAGAAAGGTAAATATAGCCAAATGTAAGACACCTTCACACCTCTAAAATCGGAACTTATGACTAATTAATAATAATAATAATAATAAAAAAGTCATAGTCAGCTAAAATACTTAAATTCATATTTTTATTTAAAAAAAAAAAACGAAACTTCATACACATTTTTAAAAAAAAATAATTTTCCGGTGACCTATTTTGACAAATAATTTATTAATTTATCCAAAAACAAAAAAATTAATCTAATTTGTTGTATTCAAATACTAATAATAATTCGTGTAAGCTGGAATTTATTCCAATAAAGTAAAAATAAAATCAATATTTAAACACATAACATAACATAATATATACAGATGCATTACTCGAACTAATTTACATAGTAAAACAACAGAAATATTTACTGTGTAATACAAAGAGACAATTTTATTTCAGATTGTTTTTAATATAGAAAAGAATAAATATTAAACAGGTGAATTTATGAGAAGAAGAAGTGTGATTATCTAATGTAAATTATTTACGATTTAAATATGCTCAAAAAACTATAAACAGAATTATAATATCATTTTACTATATATATATATTATTTTATGAACTGAATAAAATAAAATTTAGAACAACAATAACGTATTATGTCATATTCAAATTGGAATTTAGGTCAACACACATTCGACCTAGAATAGTCGTCTTTAGGAGTTGTAATAATTAATACAGTATTTAAAATTACTGAAATAGCTATTAACTAAGAAAAATGTTTTAGAGAATATCGTAGATAATCATTTCGTTTAAAAATATCTAAGCAATTAATTAACTCATAATTTTATCTCAGTGTACGAATAGAAAATATCTCTACCGGTTAATTGTGTAATGGGCAAAATGAAGCCATCGAATTGAAAATAAATCATTTTAAATGAAATAAAACTAATCATTAGGTCTATATTTTCCTGTTTTCCATTTCTAAAACAAATAGAACCCGCATCTCATTTTGTATATTTGTCAAATAAATGCTTCTAAAATGAGAATTTAGTATATTGAATCATTTTATAGAAATTATTACGCTTTCCTATATATAAATGCACCTAGTCTACAGACCGACGAAGATAAGATATTAAAGCAAAAAAATGACAGTGTGTTACTCGAAATTATATGTAGATACATAGAAATTTGAGGGACATTATATGAGAAACTATAATAGAAAGCTTTCTGCGACTTCCAACTACAGTCGATCCCCCCCTATAACACTGTTGATTTTTCCGTTTTATATGAATTCCATGTTGTACGAGTCACTTAGATTTTACAAATACGTGAGCCGTTCACAGCCCGGCACACGTGTTTGTAAAATCTAAGTGACTCGTACAACATGGAATTCATATAAAACGGAAAAATCAACAGTGTTATAGGGGGGTCGACTGTATTGTTTTTATTTCATAAAACAATGTTTAATTTATACAGTTGGTATTTTAATTCGTGTAATCTATAGTAAAAACAAGAACTAATCTGATCGTAAACAACAGTGCGACCTTAATAATAAATCATAAAAGTATTGAATGGTAATAATTTAAAATGCCCACGCAGCGACCTCAATTTAATCTACTCGGTTTATGGAGAATTCGGATGGTTGATCTACCGAACAGCGGGATAGATTAAGTGACATCATCATTCTGAAATAGTAATCAACTAATCACAGTAGGCGAGTGATCCACAAACAACTACTCTGAGGAGCAAGCAGAGTTCTCTAAGTACTTTAGAGCAGCCAGCGGTATTCGCCATTACTTTATTATACGGGAATATCTGACCCTAATAAAGAAAGTGAACAGAGAATGTGCTCTGAATCCGAACTAGACGTGAAAAGTTATGCGAATTCAATCTGGATTCGAACTCAGATTTAACGTAATCATTTTCATAAATAACATTTTTATATTTAAAACAATGTAATTAAGGCCACGAAACATTTTACTTGGTCGTCCCGCTGGTTCTAAATTGATGTTTGTCTATATAATGCATGAACATTGTAGGAGTTCGGTATACGTAATACTTATAAAAAAAATTGTAAACTTCGAAATAAGTGCGGAGATGTCACAAAATGTCACAGTTAGCACGTTCTCAACACTTGTGGCATATTTTGTGATCTCCAAAGGGGTAAAGCTTCTATACGTATATGTAAGCATGTATTTACTGTATATGAAGAAACTTAAAACACGTCTATAAAGAATGAACAATTGTTTATTATGACATCGTCACAGTGCCGGGTTGCAATTTTTAATCATATCTTTCATTACTTAATTTAAATATATGCTTTCCACCTCAAATTAGTAGTGGCATGCCCCTGTAAATCATACTTTTCCTTTAACAATAGAGTCGTTCCGGTTCATCTAACGCCTTTCAGGAAAAAATTTTTGAATTGAAATAACGTGACTTCCAATTTGCATCTGGAGTTCTTAGTTAATCGGGGCTTCCTGCCCCTAATCTTTTCATATCCGGTATCGTCTTTATCTATTTAATTCCATTCTCGAGATTAAGGAAACACAGACGGACGAACGGACGGATGACAGTGGGAATTTATAGGTCTACAGTTTTTTTTTTTTTTTCAAATTGCAGCCCAATGATCCTGATATATTAACAATAAGAAAATGCTGGCAATGTTACGGAGCTGGGCATTACAGTACACTATATTTAATTCTTGATTTGAGTCGGAGTTTATTCTCCATTCCTATTGTGTGACGACCAATCCCTCAGATCAGATGATAATGTATAATTTTAACGCTTTAAAAATATTACTGCTTGGCTTCAAAATTCATTCAGTTGACGAAATAATCACTTGATTTGAACGAATTTAGATCAATAAAAGAGACGAATTTGTTCGCAATTGATTAATACATAATAGTGTATGTTTAATTATCGTTATCTAAAATCCTCCTATACAATCAAATGAATTGTAAGTTTAATTCCTCGGTGGGAATTTTAACAGTGCTGAAACTGATGGATCTACTTATAATTTATGAAAGATATCCGCGATTAAAATCATAATGCAACACATACATACATAAGAGAGAGACTGCACGTCTCTCTTGTTAATCTCAGCATAATTTAGTTAAAAGTATTTGCAATCTGTTCTCTTTTAAATTTAAAAGATAATGAGAAATGTTTTCAGAATAAATCGTAGGATTCTTTTGCACATTAGCGAGGTTGCGGCCGAAGTTTTCATCTGTAAAACGTAAACGTCGAACGTCGAGCGCCGCTATCTTGTAAGCGGCGCTCGACGTTCGACGTTAACGTTTCAGAGATGAAAACTTCGGCCGCAACCTCGCTAAAATCAAAAATTTATCACTCTTAATACTGATTTAACATTGATTTGTTGAAAAAATGTTTTTTTTTATAATTTCCTTGGAATGCATTAATTGAACTTTAAAACTACAATATAACGAAAATTACAATTTCAAATGATTAAATTA